TTTGCTATGGAATGCGTGACGTTCCCACACCAAAAATCAATGGACATCCTGGGGTTCCAGGGTCAGGTTTCTTGTGGAAGTTTTCTTGCGGTCGAGCTCCCCTTGTACCAGAACTGGATGTTCTTCACGTATCGGGCCCTGGGAGGCGACACTCGTTCGACATTTCGCCAGCGTGTCGGGCAGACACGGTTTCGATATTTTTGTGGGTGCTCGGAATTATTTTTGGGATCTGGCCCGTAAGTGTGATGGGGACAGTATAAGCCTAGGGCCGCTCTTGGCCGACACATGAAGCCAGAGCAGATAGGGTTGTTCTGCAGCAGATGATGTGGGCCTTGTATGTCCTCGACGTTCCGTCTTCAACGTCCGTTAGCGTGCGCCAGCGCCTGGTCATCGACGCGAAAGCGCAGACTTCGCGTCGATGAGCGTCGAATCAGCGTGGATGAGCGTCGTTTAGCGTCGGTTGGCGTCGGTTCGCAAGAGTCAGCAAGATGGCATTGGAGGCTCTCATGAGTTGCCACCGACGGGTTGGAGGGTTGTGCCGCATCGCAGATGTATCGGCTATGCGGCGGGATCTGGAGCCCGTTCTTCTCCAGCCCGCCGTCTCCGATGCATGTATCGGAGATTCGGCGCAATCCTCCGTCCCCATTTGAGCTACCCGCACTTGGGAGGCCTCCATCTCCTTCCTCCGTCCTCCCTTCAGATCCACGCCACTCACACAGCAATTGTGACAGCTGGTTTTTGGACGTTTTCGGCCGGCTCCCGGTCCTGGGACCGTCCAACAAAAAATACCTACGTGAAAACCGCGGGCTGGAGATGATAGTCCCTGGACCCTTTTGGCTTTCTGGTCTGCCACTCGGGGATTGCGAAGGGTGTCCCTGGCCCCAGGTTCGCAATGAAGGAAGCAGGTCCTGATGGAAACGGGTCCTGAGTTTTTGCCTCGTTCTTGGCCTCCTGGGGCCCTCCACGGACCCTGGGATTGTCAGGCAACGGCTCATGATGAAGGGCTGGTTCTGGGGGAAGGCCCCAGGGTCCAGGACCCGTTTCCCTCAGGACCCGTTCCCTTCATGCTAAAAGGAGTGTCCTCAGCTTCTGGCTCCACTTTGGAGCCCCTGGAGCCCTCTGAGTCTCGTGTGGGGTGCTCTGGAGGCCGTGGGGGCCTCCTTTGGACTCCTAGGTCGCCCGCGGGGACGCAAAGGTAATCGCGCTTCGCGCGTCGCGGTCTGTGTCAGAGCGGCTGGTCTTGTCCAAGGGGCCGGCGCGGGGGCGTGGGGGTGCGAAGATAACCCGCGTCGCGCAGCGCGGGGTGCGGTGCGCGAAGTCAGGTGACTTGGTGAAGAAAATGTCGGAGCTCCGCGCGGATTCTTGGATCTGCACTGGACCCTCCCGGCGGCGCCTCCAGCGCCGCCCCTGGCGCGCTCCGCGTGCCAGTGAGGGGGGTTCAGCGCCGATGCAAGAAATGCGCGCGGAGCTCCGAACTTTTATGTTCATGCAGCTCTCTCTTTTCCAGCTCGGCCATGATCGCGAGCTGAGGGCCTTTTTCTCCAACCACCCTGTGGCGTTGGATTCTCGTTGTGATTGAGCAGCGCCCCGCGTTCCTCTTCACACTCCTCCTCCTCCTCCTCCTCCTCCTCCTCCTCCTCTTCCTCCTCCTCCTCCTTCTCCTCCTCCTCCTCCTTCTCCTCCCCCTCCTCCGTCCTTTCATCATCATCAGCATCAGCCTCATCATCATCATCATCATCATCATCATCATCATCATCATCATCATCATCATCATCATCATCATGATTATTATTATCATTATTATCATCATTATTATTATTATCATTATTATTAGTATTTATTATTATTATTCGTATTAGTATTGTTATTATTATCATCATTGTTATTATTTTTTAGTATTATTCGTATTATTAGTAATCATATCATTATCACTACTGTTATTATTACTACTACTACTACTATTATTATTATTATTATGATTATTATTATTATTATAAAATTAGCATCATCATCAGCATCATCATCAGCATCATCATCAGCATTAGCATCATCATCATCAGCATCATCATCATCATTTTCATTATCATTGTTATCATTGTCATTATTAGTACCATCATCATCATCATCATCATCATCATCATCATCATCATCATCATCATCATCATCATCATCATCATCATCATCATCATCATCATTAGCATCGTCATCGTCGTCGTCGTCATCATCATCAGCACATTGTCGGCACACCTCTCACACGCTCCGAGGCCCCATTGGGAGCTCCACCTAAGGCCTCAGCGGCTGAACAGGTTCCGCTGTCCGTTCCGCCGAGGCCTCTGTCCACCTGAGACTCGTGGACGACGGTCCATGGAGAGGAAGCATGTCTCCAAATGAAGTTCAAGGATCGGGTGGCCGCTCCGCATTAATTTCGGCACACCCCTCACACGTTCCGTGACCCCACGGAGTTCCACCGAAGGCCCCAGCGGTAGGGCCCGTATGGCCGCCCCGTACCCATTTCGGCACACCCCTCACACGTTCCGTGACCCCACAGGGAGTTCCACCGAAGGCCCCAGCGGCAGGGCCCGCATGGCCGCCCCGCACTCATTTCGGCACACCACTCACCCGTTTCGTGACCCCACAGGGAGCTCCACCGAAGGCCCCAGCGGCAGGGACCGCATGGCCGCCCCGCACCCCTTTGTGCTGGAGCTGGTGTCGGCTGCCGCGTTGAAGCCCAGGCGGGCCCCCCCCAGCTCGGTCCCAGGGCCCCATGGCCCACGTCAAGGCCCTGCCACTGCCTCCTCGCCTCTCTTTGGCCCGTGTTGGCATGGGGCGGGCGTGCTTGCCGCTGGTCCGCCCAAGCAGGGGCCCACGATGCCCAAGTACGCGCTCACGCAGAACAGCATGTGGCACATGAAAGATCTCGAGGACGCGTGGGGGACCCCAAGCATGCAGTGGCGACGAGCGCCGTCAGCACTTGCTGCGAAAGCGTAGATGCGAGATGGGAGCGGCGTGTAGATCGGATTGCCAGAATCATGCTTGCTCTGGTCAAGTCGTTGTGTCACCCAAGACTTGTCAAGGCGTTTGGGCTCCTTGTGGTGGATCCAGGGCCCACTGTCTGAGAGCAGGGCAGACATGATTGCGACGAAATGGTCTCCAGAGCTCCGGGTGACTGGAGGCTGGAGGTGGGGTGGCTGTCTGGTGCGCTGCCGACCGTCGGAGGGGGACCGGGCGTGAAAGGAGTTGATCCAGCTGCCCAACCTCGCCACTGTGCTTGTACAGCATCAACTCATGTATGACATCTTGTTCTGCCGAGCTCGCTCGAAGAGCCTTGGTAGAACCACCTTGGGTTCCTTTGGACAGGTTCTGGGACCGTCTTGGGGCGTCGGTGGGCCGCCCAGGAGGGGTTTCGAGCTGCCAGGCGCGACGGTTCTGTCGGGCTCTCTCTCCCGAAGAGGGTCGGTATAGCAATGGTTGCACGGAGGCACTGGGTCCCGCGGGCCTCAAGCGCGCTTTCAGGCCGTATTGGGCGCGATGGACGCACTGCGCCTCCACGTCCCTGTTTGCCCTCTCTTCCTCCTTTTCCCCCCCTGTTCCCCCCCACCTTCTCCCCCCGCCACGGCTCCCTTGCGAGTGTCGCTGTCGATCCCACAAGGGCGGATCAGGTTCTCCGAACAAGTGTGATAACAACAAATGTGGTCACACTTGTTTTTTTAAACACATTTGTTACCACAGTTTGTTACCACACTTGTTTTTACCACACTTATTTTTTTTAATCACACTTGTTTTTTTTATCACACTTGTTTTTTATCACACCTGTTTGTTATTACACTCGTTCTGTGCGAGCTGGCCCGGCCCGCGCGCGTTCACTTGACTTGACCTACGCCGTGCCGCCGTGCGCGTGGCCGCGACGCCAACCATTGGACGCGATGGTTGTCCGGGGCCTTTCCTGGAGGCTGTCTTGGGCTGTCTTGTCAATATTCTGTAGCCAGAATGAAACATATTAGTCATCACCACCATGCTGAATAATGTGCCCAGTCTGCGCGGCACCTTCACTCTGTCGCAGTCTAGCTGCATAGTGTCGAATATCCTTCCCAGTTTTTTCGTTTATATGGGTCTCGGTCAGATATTCCACTCATATTGTGCGCGTGTGTGTGTGTGTGTGTGTGTGCGTGTGTTTGTGTCTTGGGTGTTCAAAGAAGAAAATTATCACGACATTCGGGCCCCTGCGATAGGTACACTGCGTGACAGTCCGAGTTGCCCTGGAACAGCTGCGTGTGCTAGATCAAGTAGCAACGACATTCGCCGCAGCGCGAGCTTCATCATCTCTGTTCTTCCACCAGCTTTTGCACCATGTGTACCACTCAACATGCAAGTTGTTGGAGACCACGGTCCAGAGGGCGAAGGACGCGCGGCCACAGGGCCCCTGCACTCGCCGACAGCTGCCGAGGGGAGCTCGGTGGGGCTCTTGCTCCGTGTACTTGTTGTTGCTGTTGCTGTTGCTGTTGCTGTTGCTGTTGTTGTTGTTGTTGTTGTTGTTGTTGTTGTTGTTGTTGTTGTTGTTGTTGTTGTTGTTGTTGTTGTTGCTGCTGTTGTTGTTGTTGTTGTTGTTGTTTCTGTTATTGTTGATGATGATGATGGTGTTGTTGTTGTTGCAGTTGTTGCTGTTGTTGTTGTTGTTGTTGTTGTTGTTGTTGTTGTTGTTGTTGTTGTTGTTGTTGTCGTTGTCGTTGTTGTGTTTGTTGTTGGTTTGTTGTTGTTGGTGGTAGTGTTGTGTGTCTGTGTTGACAAGAGGAGACAAAGCGCCGAGCTTGCCAAAGGCAAAGGGAAGGCCCCCCCGCCGCAGGGGAAAGGCTAGCGGCTGGCCGACTCCTCCTGGCCCATCAACGGCCCTACTCGTCAGCGTTGGTCAGCCTCTAGCAGTCGCCGCTGGTACCTCTCTGGCAGCCACCTCGCCACCTCGAGCTGTTCTGACTTTAGCGTCCCTGGGCTCCGGGCAGTGGCATCTGGTCGCTGCTCTCTTCCCCCCCCTGCCTTTGCGGCACTCTCTTTCGCTTCCATGCACCTATTCGGTGCCCCCCCCCCCCCACAGGCCTCCAGCTCCCGCTCGGGGCCTGCTTCCTCCCGCCGCCGTCGTTTCTGCCCAGCGGCTCCCTGCCCCGTCGTGCTCCCTTCCCCGTGTTGTTGTTGCTGCTGTTGTTGGTGTTGTTGCTGTTGGTGTTGCTGCTGATGTTGCTGTTGTTGTTGTTGTTGTTGTTGTTGTTGTTGTTGTTGTTGTTGTTGTTGTTGTTGTTGTTGTTGTTAATGTTGTTATTGTTGTTGTTGTTGTTGTTGTTGTTGTTGTTGTTGTTGTTGTTGCTGTTGCTGTTGTTGTTGCTGTTGCTGTTGCTGGTGTTGTTGTTGTTGGTGGTTGCGGTGGTGCTGGTGGTGGTGGTGGTGGTGTGTGTGTGAGAGGGAAGGTGAGGATGATGATGATGATGATGAGGAGGAGGAGGAGGAGGAAGAATTGGAGGAGGATAGGGAGGATGAGGACGAGAATGATGCTGGTGATGCTGGTGCTGATGCTGCTGCAGATGCTGCTGCTGCTGCTGATGATGATAATGATGAAGACGATGCTGATGATGCTGATGCTGATGATGGTGATGATGACGACGGCGACGACGATGATGATACTGCTGATGATGATACAAATGCTGATGAGGCTGATGATGATTATGGTGCTGTTGCTGATGATGATGGTGGAGATGATGCTGACGATGACGATGAAATGAAGATAGAGGAGGAGGAGGATGAGGAGGAGGAGGGGGAGGACCAGTGTCAGTTCAAGGCTCAGCAGCGATGTTGAAATACACTCTCCCTCCACGATCCCTTTCCATAGGCCCCTACAAGGGGTCATTCCCACCGAGGGAATTGCCCCGTTGGGGGGCAACCGTGTGAAAATCTTAAAGCATACCAGAAACCCCATTCTGAGGACTTCGACGCCACGAGTGTGCCTGACTGCTGCGCCTTGGCGATCTTCAATCGTGCCCGAAAACCATTCCTGGGACTCCAGCACCGCGAATCGAGGTAACTGTTGCGCCCTGGCAATCCTGAATCGTTCCAAGCCGCGGTTTCTGGTACCTTAACCATGAGAGCGATTGTGCGCGGCGCTTAGGCGAGAGCCACATTTTGAAAAGGAGCCGCCCTCAATCCGTGAAGCTCTTGCAAGTTTTTCAGACGAATCTGTGCGGCGTGAAGGCGAGAGCCACATTTTGAAAGCGATCCGCCCCCGTGATTTTCAAATCTATAAAAAACTAATGTGCGCGGCGCTAAGGTGAGAGCCACAATTTGAAAACGACCCTCCCTCAATCCGTGAAGCTCTTGCACGTTTTTAAGACGAATGTGCGCGGCCCCAAGGCGAGAGCCACATTTTGAAAACAACCCGCCCTCATTCCGTGAAACTTTTTACGATTTTTTGCGCCGAGTGTGCGCGGCGCTAAAGCGATAGCCACATTTTGAAAACGACCCGCATTCAATCCGTGAAAATGTTGTCCACATTTTGAAAACGATCCGCCCTCAACGCGCGACGCCCTTGCACATTTTGAAAGCGAATGTGCGCGGCGCTAAGGCGAGAGCCACATTTTGAAAACGGTCCGCCTTCAACGTGTGAAACGTTTGTCATTTCCTACGCACCAAGCCTATAGATGTTGAGGAAATCTCTGGCGAAACGCCCGGCCCGCCTGTTCGACCGGCCTCGGGGTGCGACAGGGAGGAGTTATCTGTGAAGCAGAGGAGGAGCAGGAGGAGGAGGAGGAGGAGGAGAACGAAGATGAGGAGGAGGAGGAGGAGGAGGAGGAGGAGGAGGAGGAGAATGAGGAGAAGGAGGAGGAGGAGGAGGTGGAGGAGAAGGAGGAGGCGGGGAGGAGGAGGAGGGGAGGAGGAGGAGGAGAAGGAGGAGCAGGAGGAGGAGTAGAAGGAGGAGGAGAACGAAGAGGAGGAGAAGATGAGGAGGAGGATCAGGAGCAGGAGGAGGATGATGGTGATGATGCTGATGATGACGAGGAGGATGATGAGGAGAAGGAGGAGAAGGAGGAGGAGGATAACGAAGAGGAGGAGGAGGAGGGGGATGAGGAGCAGGAGGAGGAGGAGGAGGAGGAGGAGGAGGATGATGAGGAGGAGGAAGAGGAAGAGCAGGAGGAGGAGGAGGAGCAGGAGGATGAGGATGATGGTGACGAGGAGGAGGAGGAGGACAAGGAGGACGAGGAAGAGGAGGAGGAAGATGAGGAGGAAGAATTTGAGGATGGGGAGACGGAGGAGGATGAGGACGAGGATGATGCTGTTTATGCTGGTGCTGATGCTGATGCAGATGCCAATGCTGATACTGCTGCTGATGATGTTTATGAAAACGATGGTGATGATGATGATGATGATGATGATGATGATGCTGATGATGGTGGTGATGACGGCGGCGACGACGACGATGATGATGCTGCTGCTGATGATGCTGCTACTAATGATGAGGCTGGTGATGATGATGGTGCTGTTGATGCTGCTGCTGCTGCTGATGATGATGATGATGATAATGATGATGATGATGATGATGATGATGATGATGATGATGATGATGATGATGATGATGATGATGATGATGATGATGATGATGATGATGATGATGATGATGTGATGATGATGCTGATGGTGGAGATGATGCTGACGATGACGATGAAATGAAGATAGAGGAGGAGGATGATGAGGAGGAGGACCAGTGCAAACCCAAGACTCATCAACGATGCTGAAATGCACCCTCCCTTCACGCGCTCTCGTCACAGGCCCCTACAAGGGTTCATTCTCACTGAGGGAGTTGCCCCGTTGGAGGTCAACCTTGCGTTTGGACAGGAAACGCCTTGTATCCATGAACCCCTTGCGAATTTTTCAAACGAATGCGCGCGGCGCTGAGGCGAGAGGCACATTTTGAGAACCACCCGCCCTCACTCCGTGAAGCTTTTGCAACTTCTTGACGAATGTGCGCGGCCCTAAGGCGAGAGCAACATTTGAAAACGACCCGCCTTAGATTTGTGAAGCTCTTGCAATTTGTTAGAACGAATGTGCGCGGCGCTGAGGCTAGAGCCACATTCTGAAAGCGACCCACCCTCAATCCGTGAAGCTCTTGCAAATTTTAGAAACGATGTGCGCGACGCTCAGGCGAGAGCAACATTTTGAAAACCACCCGCCCTCCATCAGCGAAACTGTTGTCACTTTGTGAGCTGCAGGCTCAAACGTTGCATGGAAGTCTCGGGCAAAACGCCCGGTCCGCCCTTCCAGCTGGCCTCGAGGTGCGACAGGGAGGAGTTATTCATAAGGAGCATGAACAGACGATGCTGATGACGAGGAGAAGGAGGACAAGAAGGAGGAGGTGGAGGAGGAGGAGGTCGAGGAGGATGAGAACGAAGAGGAGGAGGAGGAGGGGGAGGAGGAGGAGGAGGAGGAGGAGGAGGAGGAGGAGGAGGAGCAGCAGGAGGAGGAGGAGGAGGAGCCTGCCTTGGGCGCCAAGCGGGCGGCAGCGTTGGATCCCGCGCTTCTCGCCTTCTCAGGGGGAAGTGTTATCCCTTGCCGCGGCGATGGACCAGGCTGTGGCTGCGGTCCTGCCCCCGCGGGCGGACGAGCGCGGGCTGCTGGCGGCGATGGAGCCGCTCGTGCAGGCCGCGGTGGCTGACGCAGCTGCTGGCGGTGGCAGCCGCCAGGTGGTGGCGGCCGCAATGGCGGTCATCCGCACCGGCGTCGAGGTGCTGGTCGAGGCCGACAGTGAGATCGGCAAGATCGACAAGGAGTGGCAATGCGCGAGGGGCTCGCGCGGCCGCACCTGCGGCTCCACGCGGCCGCTGGGCGTGGTGGGGTGCTGGCCCAGGCCCTCGGGGGCCTGCCGCGCGTTCCGCCACTGGGCGATACGCGCGGGCTTCGGGGGAGGGGCGGAGACGGCGTCCGCGACGGCGTTTGTGGAGGCCAAGCGGCGAGGCCGCCGCGGTGAGGAGCAGGAGCCGCCGCCCGCCGCTGTGCAGGAGCTGGACGGCATCTCCGACCAGGAGGCGGCGCTGCTCGGCAGCGGCGCGGAGAAGTCGTCTGCGGACTCGGACGAGACGCTGGCGGGGGTGCAGAGCATCACGCAGTCGGGCCTCTCCTTCGGGGTTGCGGCGCCAGCGGTCAAGGAGGGGAAGCAGCTCGGTTTCGACATCGGCTCGGAGGTGGAGGCGCAGCTTGACATCGGCTCGGAGACGGCGTCGACGGACTCGGAGTGGGAGCGCAGGGGCGTGTGCGACGAGGCGTTGGCGAAGGTGCACAGCATCGAGCAGGAGCCAGATGGGGCACTGGAGCTGGCGCACGCGACGGCCGTCGAGTGCGTGGAGCTCCGCGCCGCCGCGTGGCAGCTGACGCGGGAGGTGGCGCTGAGCGACAAGGAGGCCGTCCTGGAGACCGAGGTCGAGGCCGAGGTTGGGATAGGCTTCGAGAGGGACGTGGAGGCGGACAGCGTGGGCAGTGACGAGAACGCCAGCGGCTGCGACCCGCTGGGGCCCGCGCTGGAGAGCCTGGGGAAGGTGCTCGCGCAGGAGGAGGCCTTCGAGGAGGACAGGCGCGAAGACGAATGCGGCGGCGGTGCTCCTACGAGCCGCGCCGCGCGCCCCCGCTGGGCTGATTTGGACAGCGGCGACACGGGCTCGGGGATCGACGGCGTGTTCGACCAGCTCGAGGTGGCCAGCGAGCTGGAGTCCGCGCAGTCTGTGCAGGACGGCGCAGGAGGGGAGGTGGCTCGGCTGGACCAGCCACGTGGCCCGTCCTCGCGGGGACAAGCCTCGCGCCAGGGCAGTGCGGGTGCCAGGGGGGGTAGCTCGGCTGGGTGGCCTGGACGATGCGCCCTCGCGAGAGCACCCCTTGGGCCCAGCGGAGGAGGACGAGGATCTGATCCCGATGGACTTCGCGGCGGGCGTCTCCAATGAGGACGAGAAGCGTCTCCTGATGGTCTGCTATGGTGGCCCCAACCCAGAGCAGTGCACGTTGTTAGTGAGCCGCCTGGTGGAGCAGCGTTTCGCAAGCTGGCGTTCGTCGTCGTGGCGATGGGCTGGGCGTTCATATTCGAGGCAGGCTTCTTGAACGCTGGAAGGTTGCTTCGGCGGCTGGGGCTCCCTCGGGCTCATCTTCGAGGCAGGCGAATCCATATCCCGTGCCTGGGTTGCGGCGGCTTCGTCATGGTCGTCGGAGCCCTGGGGACCTCCATATTCTTGCCGGTCGCGTGCCTCGGGCATGTCGGCTGGGGACGCCCCTCAAGATTTGAGGCAGCGGCTTGCACAGCGGGCCGTTCTTAGGTAGAAACTGGGGAACTGAGGAGGATGAGGAGGAGAAAGAGGAGAAGGGTGATGATGACGATGGCGAGGAGGAGGAGGAGGAGGACGAGGAGGGGAGGAGGAGCAGGAGCAGGAGCAGCATTTCGACGCTGCTGATGATGATGGTGATGCCGATGGTGGTGATGATGGTGCTGCTGCTGATGATGATGATGATGATGATAATGATGACGACGATGATGCTGCTGATGATGATGGTGATGAGAAGCATGAAGATGCTGATACTGCTGATCATGATGCTGATGATGCTGATGCTGATCCTGATGCTGTTGCTGCTGATGATGACGACGACGGTAATGATGATGCTGATGATGATACATATGATGATGACGCTCATGATGACGATGGTCATCATCATCAGCATCATCAGCATTATCATCATCATGATTGCGATGATTTTGGTGGTGGTGGTGGTGGTGGTCATGGTGATGGTGATGGCGATGATGCTGGTGATGATGGTGATGTTGCTGGTTATGATGATGCTGGTGATGATGATGATGATGATGCTGATGATGCTGATGCTGATGTAGCTGGTTTTGCTGATGGCGATGTAGATTATGATGATGCTGATGATGCTGATGATGATGCCGAGAAAGAGGAGGAGAACGAAGAGAAGGAGGAGGAGAAGGAGGAGGAGCCGGATGATGATGATGATGATGATGATGATGATGATGATGATGATGATGACGATGATGATGATGATGATGATGCTGATGATGCTGATGATGATGATGATGATGATGATGATGATGATGATGATGCTGATGATGATGATGATGATGATGATGATAATGCTGATGATGCTGATGATGATGATGATGATGATGATGATGATGATGATGATGATGATGATGATGATGATGATGATGATGGTGGCGATGAGGTCACGAAAGCAAACAAACGATGCCGCGGGAGGGGAGGGGAGGGGCAAATGGGGGCTCGGGCCCGACGCGCATGGGTGGAGGGGATCGGCCGAGGAGACCGGCGACCGGACCAAGTCCGGGCGCAACCTGCGAAGGGTCCTCGGCAAGAGCGGCTCCGCGCCGGGCCTGTTGGCGCCCGCGGCCTAGCCTGACCCATCCCGTAAGGCGATCTGGCTGGAGGGGCTACGCGTGGTACTGACGTTCGGGGGCCACGTACTGGGGCGGTAGGGGCGAACTTCGGAGGCTTTGAGGGGGCCGCCTTTGGGGGTTCCGTTTGGGGGCCACGTGTGTGGCCGACGTTTAAGGGGCCACGTCTGAGGGCCACCCCGCAAAGCAGTCGGGGAGCTCCGGCTGTCTGGGGGGGTGCAGGGGTTCGGCGTCGCCGAGAGCGTTTCGGAGTCGTCCCGAACGGCCGCCAGGGACCGAACCGAGGCTCGAAGGCCAGACGACGAGGATCACCAAGGGTGACTCGCGGTTCGGTGGGTTCAGTTGCATCGCAGTCGGCTTCTTTCGGTCGGTTCGGTTCGGTCGGTTGTTGTGTCGTTGCTGCGTCGCTGCGCCCTTCTAGGCTGCTTGTGGCCCGTCGGTTTCGGTTTCTCTGTCGGTTCTGTCGGTTTCCCGTTGTACTGTCCCCGTGGACGGCCTTGATGGGGTAGGATGGAGTCCAGGCTCCGATCGACGATGTCTCGGCGATCGGGATTGATACATATCCACCACTGCGGAAAGCGATCTCACAGGACCCAAGGACGCAGCGGATGTGGGCATCTTTGGCACCCCGTGGGCCCAAGCCTATTCATATCTGCTGCCTCCCTAGGTCCTGTGAGGTCGACCCACAATGTGCCCTACCAGAGGAGCAACACTTGCATACATATAACACTTTGGTAAATCGGTGCGGATTTCTTTGGTTGGCGCTGGACCGAGAGGAAGGATCGTGGGGGGACAGCACGGTCCACCCCGTTCGGACCGATCCGATTTGATACCGCTTCCGGTTGGCCCGATCCGATTCGATTCCGGTTTCCCGACGAACCGATGCGGCCTGATGCTCGCACGGGCGTCGTTGTGCATTTTGGCGCGGCCGATCTGCTCCGATACGATTTCGGCTCCGTGCCGATGCAGCCCGATATGGCGCACATGGCGGGGGCGTCCAAGAGGGGGGTGAGGACCAGGGGTGCATTTGTGGTGTGTGTGTGTGTGTGTGCGTGCGTGTGTGTGTGTGTGTGTGTGTGTGTGTGTCTGTGTGTGTGTGTGTGTTCGTGCGTGTGCGTGTGCGTGTGCGTGTGCGTGTGCGTGTGTGCGTGTGCGTGTGCGTGTGCGTGTGCGTGTGCGTGTGCGTGTGCGAGTGCGAGTGCGAGTGCGAGTGCGAGTGCGAGTGCGAGTGCGAGAGCGAGTGCGAGTGCGAGTGCGAGTGCGTGCGTGTGCGTGTGCGTGTGCGTGTGCGTGTGCGTGTGCGTGCGCGTGTGTATGTGTGTGTGTGTGTGTGTGTGTGTGTTCGTGCGTGTGCGTGTGCGTGTGCGTGTGCGTGTGTGCGTGTGCGTGTCTGCGTGTCTGCGTGTGCGTGTGCGGGTGCGTGTGCGTGTGCGAGTGCGAGTGCGAGTGCGAGTGCGAGTGCGAGTGCGAGTGCGAGTGCGAGTGCGAGTGCGAGTGCGAGTGCGTGTGCGTGCGCGTGTGCGTGTGCGTGTGCATGTGCGTGTGTGTGTGTGTGTGTGTGTGTGTGTGTGTGTGTGAGTTTGTGTGTGTGTGTGTGAGCGCGTGCTTGCGTGTTTGCGTGTGCGTGTGCGTGCATGTGTGTGCGTGTGTGCGCGGGTATCATGGCTGGGGTCATGATCTCCCCCAGATCTCACGGCCACGCTCCCTGCCCCCCTTCGTCCGCGCACGTTCCTTGGTCCATGACGCGCCCCCAACCCCCCTCCTCTTCCTGGCCCCCCTCGGCGCGCCCGAACTCCCCGACTCGGTCCGCTTTCCCGATGCCAAGCTGACCAATGCTGCAGGAGGGAGTGGCGGCGGGGGGGGGGGGTTCAGGGGCGGCCTGACCGACTTTTAGCAAACCATCCCCTTCCGTGACGTCCCTCTCGCCTCGCCCCAGGAGGTCTGTCTGCGGCTGGAGGGGCGCTTGGGAGGCGAGGATGGCGTCACGGACGGGGATGGTCTGCTGGGGGTCGGTCAGGCCGCGCCCGATGGGGGGCGTCCGAGGTCTCGCGGCGTGCCCGCGGCGAGATGATGCTTGCTGGCCGGGCGCGCGCCGTGCGCTTCGGGGGGTGGCGTCCGCTTCCAAGGAGCGGGCGCGGGCGCCCTTTGAGGGAGGCAGTGTGGACGGTGCCCCTCCGAAACGTGACTGCCTGTGGTGACTCGCGGGCTTCTTCTCCTCCTCCTCCTCCTCCTCCTCCTCCTCCTCCTCCTCCTCCTCCTCCTCCTCCTCCTCCTCCTCCTCCCGTCCTCCTCCTCCCACTCTCCTCGGCGCCACGATCTCAAGGTCGCCCTTCCCCTCCCTCCCTCCTCCCTCGTCCAGGCGACCGCGCGTGCCGGGCCCGCAGCCCCTCGCTGGACTGCCTGCGGTGGGGCTTCTCCAGCCTCGAGCGGCGGGCGCCGGCGGGCGAGGGGTGGGTCGTGCGGCCCGCCGTGGCGACCGTCGGGTCTCCAGAGACGGGGGTCCATGCAAACGGGGGTCAGCCAGGGCGCCAGATCTTGCAGGATCCTGCAGGGCCGGGGGCGCATGGACCCGGGTCTGGGTGCAGGATCCTGCAGGTTCCTGCAGGGCCAGGGTCGCGCTGGCCCGGGTTTTTGGGTGCAGGATCCTGCAGTGTCCTGCAAGGCTCGACTGACCCGGGTCTGGATTGACCCGGGTCAAACGATGGTACTGCTTCAGATTCCAGTAACTATCGGTCGCGACCGATCGCTCACGATCGATCGCGACTGAAAAAGCTCAGTTTCCAATGATCGGGATCTCCCTTATCCACAGCATGGCGCTGGCAGGGAGCTTGACCCCCTCAAGAGAGGCCAGCGCCAGCGCACCTTGGGCTTCTGTAGTCGGTCATGTGTGTCTGCACGCCCCACTCCCCCAGCGGCCGCCGCTCTCTTTGCTTTCGCCTCCAGGTCTCCATTCGCGATCCCGTCGCCCCGCCTGCTTCCTCGACCGCGCTGAGCGTCCGCCAGCGCTGCGACAGAGGATGTTTGCGCACGCCCCATGATCAAGGGCACCTCGTCGCCGTGGCTAGGCTCGGATCTTGGGTGGTGGTCTGCAACGCGACCAACGCATCACCTTCCTCCTCCTCCTCCTCCTCCTCCTCCTCCTCCTCCTCCTCCTCCTCCTCCTCCAGGCCTAGATCCTGAAAGTGCGCCAGTGGATTTCCCTGAATACACTAAGGGGGGGGGGGGGTTGCAGAACCCCCCCCCCCTCCCCCCCTTCAAGGGGGGGAGGGGGGTTCGGGGGTCCCGAACCCCCCCTCCCCCCCCCCTTGGGGGGGGGGGGTTCAGGACCCCTCCCCCTCCCCCCCTTGGCGCTGGAAAGGGGGGGGGGGTCGGAGCCCCCCCCCCTCCCCCTTTGCGCCGGAGAGGGAGCCGGGGAGGGGGGCCTCTCGCTTTTCCTTTCTCCGCCGGAGAATGTAGGGAGTGCGGAGTTGGGAGTAGGGAGTGGTGAGTAGTGAATAGTGAGTTAGTGCGTAATGAGTAGTGAGTATTGGGTAGTGAGTAGTGGGTAGTGAGTGGCGAGTAGGGAGTAGGGAGTAGGGATTGGGGAATAGTGAGTAGTGAATAGTGAGTAGTGTGTACTTATAAGTGAGTAGTGAGTGGCGAGTCGTGAGTAGTGAGTAGTGAGTAGCGAGTAGCGAGTAGTGAGTACTGAGTAGGGTGTAGGGAGTAATGAGTAGTGGGTAGTGGCATTGGGTAGTGAGTAGTGGGTGGCGAGTCGTGATTAGTGAGTAGTGAGTAGTGGGTAGTGCGTAGTGCGTAGTGAGTAGTGAGTAGTGAGTAGTGAGGAGGCAGCAGTGCGTAGTGAGTAGTGAGTAGTGAGTAGTGAGTAGCGAGTACTGAGTAGTGAGTAGTGAGTAGTGAGTATTGGGTACTGAGTAGTACGTAGTGCGTAGTGAGTAGTGAGTAGAGAGTAGTGATGAATATAGAGTAGTGGGTAGTGGCATTGGGTAGTGAGTAGTGAGTAGCGAGTAGCGAGTGGCGAGTAGTGACTAGTGAGGAGCGAGTAGGGCGTAGTGAGTAGTGCGTAGTGAGTAGAGAGTAGTCAGTAGTCAGTAGTGGGTAGTGATTAGTGCGTAACGAGTAGGGAGTAGCGAGTAGTGAGTAGTGCGTAGTGAGTAGTAGTGAGTAGGGAGTAGGGAGTAGGGAGTAGAGAGCAGTCAGTAGTAAGAAGTGGGTAGCGAATAGTAGGTAGTGAGTAGCGATTACTGAGTAGTGAGTAGTGGGTGGTGAGTAGTGACTAGTGACTAGTGATTTGTGACTAGTGACTAGAGACTATGTAGTGACTAGTTAGTAGGGAGTATTGAGTAGCGAGTATGGGAGTAGCGAGTTGTGAGTACTGAGTCCTGTGTAGTCACTATTGTGTAGGGAGTAGGGAGTAGCGAGTAGCGAGTAGTGGGTAGTGAGTAGTGATTTGTGGGCAATCAGTAGTGGGTAGTGAGTAGTGAGTAGTGGATAGTGGGTAGTGGGTAATGAGTAGTGATGAGAGAGTAGTGAGTAGGGAGAAGTGAGGAATGCTTAGTGGGTAGTGAATATTGAATAGTGGGTAGTAAGGAAGGAGTAGTGCGTAGTGAGTAGGGAGGAGGGAGTAGTGAGTAGGGAGTAGTGCGTAGTGAGTAGTGAGTAGTGAGTAGTGGATAGTGAGTAGTGAGTCGTGAGTAGTGAGTAGGGGGTAGTGAGAAATGAGTAGCGAATAGCGAGTAGTCAGTAGTGGGTAGTGAGTAATGAGTAGTGAGTACTCTTTGGGGCTGGGGTCAGTGGTTGGGGTCAGGATTAGGGGTTTGGGTCAGGGTCAAGTTAGTCAGCTCGAACGAGCGAGAGGGTTCCGTCCACTCCCACCCGCCCTCCCACAACATAAGAAGCAAACGCGTCGCGTCCGACGCCCGTCGTTTATCTTATATCGTGGGCGGCCAGACGTTCCCCGCGCGCGATGTGCGCCGCGTCCCATATGTGCAGGTCCCGGACCAGCCCCACGGGCCAGAGGCGTGCTAAGTTCTCCGGTAACCAGTTAACAATCTTCTAGTTTGCGCGCGCGGGGCGGCCCCTGGGGCCCCCGGGCGAAAAGAACCCCGAGCAGGTCCTGGGCACGTCGGTCCCAGCGATGGTTTTCTTCTTCGGCGCTGACTTCCAGGTCCCAGAGCGCCCCAGGAACGCCCCAAGAGAGCCGAGACGCCCCCGAGACGATCCGAGGGGCCCTGAGTCGCCGAAAGATCGTTCCAAGACGCCCAAGATGGCCTCCAGACGGCCGTAGCGCCAAGAATCCGCAGGGAGCCTCAGGAGGCCCTCCAAGAGCCTGGACAAGCAAAAACCTCCCAGACATTCGTCACCCCAGGGCTTTCTGGAACGCCCCGGCGCTCAATGAATTGGCGAGCTAAAAAAACGTGCGCCGAGCCAAAGCGGGAGCGCAACTTTGAGAAAATGTCGCTCGGCGCCCAAGCGGGAAGGTCATTTCATTAACTTCGAGCGGGGTGGGAGGGGGGTGTGCCGCGCCCAGTTCTTGCCATGCGCTTTTGCGGGGTGGACGACGAGAACAGCTATGTGGGCAGGGAAAATCAGCATGGCATTGCTTCTGGCAAGTAAGGTGGCCTCTCCCGCCTTGGGGTTGCCCCAGAAGTTCGCGCGCGATGTGCGCCGCGCCCCATTCCTGCCACGCATTTCGCATCGTCGACGACAAGGCAGGCCATGATGAAAGGAAAAACGGCAACTCTGCATTGTTGTTTTACAGTCAGGATGGGAAGGCCTGCAGCCCGCATGGACGTCCGCGCTCGATGTGCGCCGCGTCCCATTCCTGCCACATATTTCGCACCGTCGGCGACAAAGCAGGCCATGCTGAGAGGAAAAAACGGAGACGTTGTAATTTTTTAAAACAGTCAGGATGGGCGGGCCCGGATTGACGGCCGCGCGCGATGTGCGCCGCGTCCCATGTGTGCGCCGCGTCCCACTGCTGCCACATATCTCGCACCGTCGGCGACAAGGCAGGCCATGCTGAGATGAAAGAGCGAAGGTTTTGTATTGATTTTTTACAGTCAGGGTGGGCGGGCCCCGATTGACTGCCGCGCGCGATGTGCGCCGCGTCCCATTCCTGCCACGCTTTTCGCATCGTCGACGACAAGACAGACGATGTTGAGAAGAAAAACGGCGACTTTGTATTGATTTTTTACAGTCCGGATGGGAGGTCCCGGATTGGGTCGCTATCGGCCGGAATACGAGGTAGGTGGGGGTATATAATAATCAAGTTAGCCAGCTCGAACTAGCGAGAGGGTTCCGTCCACTCCCACCCGCCCTCCCACAACATAAGAAGCAAGCGCGTCGCGTCCGACGCCCGTCGTTTATCTTATATCGTCGGGGCGGCCCCTGGGGGCCCCCGGACGACAAGAACCCCGAGCAGGTTCTGGGCGCGTCGGTCCCAGCGATGGTTTTCTTCGGCGCCGACTTCCAGGTCCCAGAGCGCCCCAGGAACGGCCCAAGAGAGCCGAGACGCCCCCGAGACGATCCGAGGGGCCCTGAGTCGCCGAAAGATCGTACCAAGACGCTCAAGATGGCCTCCAGACGGCCGAAGACGCCGCCAAGAAACCGCGGGGAGCTTCTCGAGGCCCTCCAAGAGCCTGAACAAGCAAAAACCTCCCAGGCATTCGTCACCCCAGGGCCTCCTGGAACGCCCCGGCGCCCAACGAATTGGCAAACTAGAAGCGTGCGCCGAGCCAAAGCGGGAACGCAACTTTGAGAAAATGTCGCTCGGCGCCCAAGCGGGAAGGTCATTTCATTCACTTCGAGCGGGGTGGGAGGGGGGGTGTGCCGCGAACAATTCTTGCCATGCATTTTTGCGGGGTGGGCGACAAGATCAGCTATGTGGGCAGGGAAAATCAGCATGGCATTGCTTCTGACAAGTAAGGTGGCCCCTCCCGCCTTGGGGTTGCCCCAGAAATCCGCGCGCGCTGTGCACCGCGCCCCATTCCTGCCACGCATTTCGCATCGTCGAGGACAAGACAGGCCATGATGAAAGGAAAAACGGCAACTCGGTATTGTTTTTTACAATCAGGATGGGAGGGCCCGCAGCCCGCATGGACGTCCGCGCGCGATGTGCGCCGCGTCCCATTCGTGCCACATATTTCGCACCGTCGGCGACAAGGGAGGCCATCTGAGAGGAAAAAACCGAGACGTTGTAATGATTCTTTACAGCCAGGATGGGCGGGCCCGGATTGACGGCCGCGCGCGCGCGACGTGCGCCGCGTCCCATATGTGCGCCGCGTCCCACTGCTGCCACATATTTCGCACCGTCGGCGACAAGGCAAGCCATGCTGATATGAAAAAACGAAGGTTTTGTATTGATTTTTTACAGTCAGGATGGGCGGGCCCAGATTGACTGCCGCGCGCGATGTGCGCCGCGTCCCATTCCCGCTATGCTTTTCGCATCGTCGACGACAAGACAGACGATGTTGAGAAGAAAAACGGTGACTTTGTATTGACTTTTTAAAGTCCGGATGGGAGGTCCTGGATTGGGCCGCTATCGGCCGGAATACGACGTAGGTGGGGGTATATAATAATAAGGAACAAGGCTGAGGACTAGGGGTAGGGGTGGCGGGGATCGGGTTCCGGAGTCATGGGGCGGCGTGGCGAAAAGGGGGGAGGGAGGGGGGGGGGGTGCGGCCAAAGGGGGCGAGGGGGGGGGTCGGCCCCCCCTCCCTCCCTGAGGGGGGGGGGTCCCGACGACGGATCGAGGAAAGGGGGGGGGTCCCCGACGACGGATCGGGGAAGGGGGGGGAGGGGGGTTTTCCCCGACGACGGATCGAGAAAAGGGGGGGGTTCCCCCCCCCCCCCCCCCCCTTGGGGAGATCCAGCGGCGCACCCTCCTAGATTCCAAGTCTTGCCAGCGCAAGGTCGGCGCCCCCGGGCCAAATTTCCAAAGTTGATGCCGAGACGAACGGCTCCACATCTTATCGTCGGCGTCCGTAGACCGCGCCGCGCGCGCCACCGAACATTGAACATTGGGGGCAAGGGTGGGGCGGCAAAAGTTTGCTCAAGTTTCGCGGAGGGATGCGCGGTCGAGCATCGTATTCAGAAACCTCCTCCCGAAAAGCTGGGCCAGCGTTTCTTGACCACCTTGCTGGACAGCTGACCCAGTTTCTGAAGCACGCTCGACCCTCCGGCGCGAGTAGGTAAGCTGGCCTAGGTTTGTTCAACGACACTTCGGAAAGTTGGCCCGGGTTTCTCGAAGAGCTTCGGCTGTGGGGTCGGAGCCCGTCGCTCCAGAGCGTTTCGGAACGCCCTGTGACGGCTGTGGCTCCCGATGCGTCCCTCAGACTTGCCTGCTCTCGGGGATCTCCTAGTGATCGGCTTCGCGCAAGCTTACATGTACCAGGTGTGCATCGTCCCCAAAGGAGGCGACGCGCGCGCTCAGGAATCTCATGGTGTACTCTCGGTGGCGGGCGCTTCCTGGCCATGCCACTGGAGTGACGATCTGCTCTGAGATGGCTGCATTCTATGACCTGGTCGAGCGCACGCCTCCCAAGGAGGACACATCGCATTAGCGTGTGCTTGTGCGTCTGCTGCAGCGCTTGGCTGTTTCGCTTCCTTCTCGCACGTGATGTTTCGCAGCAGCTACGCCGGTCCTTCTCGAAGGGCCAGCGTGCCACTAGGCACGCTGCGTTCGGCGTTCTGCGTTCTGCGTCTCGGCTTACCCCGATCCGAGGAGGAGGAGGAGGAGGAGGAGGAGGAGGAGGAGGAGGAGGAGGAGGAGGCGGAGAGGAGGGAGGAGGAGGAGGAGGGAGGAGAGGAGGAGGAGGAGGAGGAGGAGGGAGGAGGAGGAGAGGAGGAGGAGGAGGAGGAGGAGGAGGAGGAGGAGGATGGAGGAGGAGGAGGAGGAGGAGGAGGAGGAGGAGGAGGAGGAGGAGGAGGAGGAGGAGGAGGAGGAGGAGGAGAGGAGGAGGAGGAGGAGGAGGAGGAGGAGGAGGAGGAGGAGGAGGAGGAGGAGGAGGAGGAGGAGGAGGAGGAGGAGAGGAGGGGAGGAGGAGGGGAGGAGGAGGAGCGTCTCGACTTATCCCGATCCGACATCGTCCCGATCTGGGCTTCGTCTCGGGCGGCGGCTGTGCCCCATGGCGGCATCGCCCCCAGGACCGCAGGGGAGGAGGCCGGAGGGGCGCGAGGCGGGGCGGCCTTTTCCAAGAGGGCCAGGGAGGAGGGCCTTTTGGAAGCCTTCCTCCTCCTCTTCCTCCTCCGCATCCTCCTGCTGCTCCTCCTCCTCTTCTCCTCCTCCTCCTCCTCCCTCCTCCTCCTCCTCCTCCTCCTCCTCCCCCCTCTCCTCTCCTCCTCCTCCTCCTTCTCCTCCTCCTCCTGCCTCTCCTCCTCCTCCTCCTCCTCCCTCCTCCTCCTCCTCCCCTCCTCCTCCCCTCCTCCTCTCCTCCTCCTCCTCCTCCCTCCTCCTCCTCCCTCCTCCCTCCTCCCTCCTCCTCCTCCTCCTCCCTCCTCCTCCTCCTCCTCTCTTCTCTCCTCCCTCCTCCTCCTCTCCTCCCCCCCCCCCCCCTCCTCCTCCGCCTCCTTCTCCTCCTCCTCCTCCACCAGTTCCTTCTCCTCCTTCTCCTCTCCCTCTCCCTCCGCCTCCTCCTCTTCTTCCTCCTCCTCGTCTTCTTCTTCTTCTTCTTCTTCTTCCTCGTCCTCTTCCTCTTCCTCCTTGTCCTCCTCCTCCTCTCGAGGAAACGCAGGCACGTATACGCCGAAGACCAGCACAGCGGCACAGGCACGATTTCCTGGGAGCTCCGCGCGCACTTCTCGGATCGGCGCGGGGCCCCCCTGGCGGCGAGCAAGCACGTCCGCCCAGAGCTCCGAGACAGCATGCCGGTGCTTGCTCTCGTGCCTATACGCTGTCCGGCGAGGGGCCCCGTCTCCAGCCAGAGTCTCGGCGCGCTCCGTCGCCGCATCGGGCGGCGCTGGCTCTTCGTGCTCGGGGGGTTACACCTTAGGCGATGCTTAAGAAAACTTAAGCTTTCGGCCAGAGTCTCGATTATTCTTAACGTTTCAATGTAAGTCTTAAGATTTTAATAGAAAGGATGGGTTTTTATTCAAGTTCTGAGATTATGAATTTCTTGACCCATGATTTCTTAGGCATTTCGCAGGGTGTACAGCCCGAGCCTATGACAAGAAACACCCTGCTTGCCTCCCAGGGTGCTGGGTTTCGCGGGTTTCTCGATGGTTCTGCTGTGGAGAGCGTGACGCTCCCACACCAACAAAGCAATGGGCGTCCTGCGGTCTCAGGGTTGGGTTTCTTGTGGAAGGTGTCCCGTGGTCGAGCTCCTGCTGTATTTTCTCCGATCCATGTTGGCGTGTGCCCGACTCCTGCCCTCCAAGAAGCCGTCTTGGAAACCTCCAGTCCCTCCTCAGGAGCCCCCACTGCCTGCTCAGAGCACGACTCCCCCTCTCAGCATCTTTTGGCCGATGCCTACCGCCATCCCCATCCCCATCCCCATCCCCATCCCGATCCCGACCATCCCACTACCCCAGTTGGAGATGTGTCGCTCGAAGCTCGAATGGGGGAGCAGCTTATGTCCGTGGGGCCCAGGCCACGCCCGTGGGGATAGAGATCGGCGAGACGATGCTCACCTCCACCCCGCCCTCCCGCTCGCCGCAGGGCACGGCCACTCGTTCTCCGACGCGCCCGGAGGGGAACCGCCTCGACCGTGCCCCTCGGATCGCAAAAAAACCCAGGATTGCACAAAAACCGAAGGATTGCAAAAAAAACAGGATTGCAACAAAAACCGAAGGTTTTTTTTGCAATCCTTCGTGCAAGCCAGAGCCCCGCGACCGCTCTCGGACCCTCGAGCTGGCTCCCCTCTGCTGGCGCGGCACGAGGTGCTGCGGGGCTCCATGGGAGGCCGTGGGCAGCGCCGGCCACGGCCTGCGCCCGGCATCTCCCCGAGGCGGGCCTCCCCGAGGCGAGCTCCTCTGCCGAGGAGGGCTGCTCGAGCCCAGGGGCCGCGCCGGGGGAATCTTCGGCAGGCCTGGCGGTTGGCACCACCACCGAGGCCGGCGGCTGCCTCCACGGAGGGAGGAGGATCCCCATCTCGGTGCTGGTGGTAATGTTCGGGCTTCCTGGGCGTCCGAAGTGTGATTGCCACTGTGCAGCATCCAGGATCAGATTCCCCAGTGGGGGCAACCCACTGTGTTGGTGTTGGTGCTCATCTCCAAGCCTCCGATAACTATCTGACAGCGCGGTCTCCCTCGGCGGCCCCGCGAAGCACCCCCCCGGCGGGCCCCTGGCGGGTGGTGAGCGCGTTGCCGCTGCTGCTCTCCGATGTCTCTTGGGCAGGCCCTGGATGCGCTCATCGGCTGGCTGCCTGGATATTCTGCACCAGCGGGCCGGTGCAGCCATCTGGCTCAAAGTCAGGCCGCTCGGCACCCCCGTCGGGTAGGGTGGTTGCCACAAGGCTGCGGAGGCGGCTTCCCGCGCCCCCCCCGGGCAGCCGACGAACCCACGCCGTCCTTGCTCGACGAAGAAAGACAGGCATAAGCATAATTTTCGGAGTTCCGCACGGATTTCTTGGTTCTGCGCTGGGCCCCCCCATCTGGCGCGCGGAGCGCGCCAGGGGCGGCGCCAGAGACGCCGCCAGTGTGGCCCAGCGCTGGTGCAAGAAATCCGCGTGGAGCGCCGAAAGCTAATGTTTATGTTGTTTTGTGTTTTTCTATTGGCGTCAGGGCTGTCAGCGATTACTCTGACTCTGGATGGGGTAGGGGGGTGATTGACCCTCCGACGCAGCTTGCCCATCCCCGACTCCTCCCTCCCTCCTCCCCTCTTCCTCCTCTTCTTCCTCCTTCTCCTCCTCCTCCTCCTCCTCCTCCTCCTCCCCGAAGCGCCCCTCAACCGTTCCGACAGCACGTGCCCCCTCCCCCCCCTGCGGATCCAGGGTGGGGGGGGCAACTGTGTTTCGGTATTCCTCACGCTTCACGCTTCGCCGTGGCACGTCAGCACGCCGCCAGCGAATAGTGCAGCCCTGCAGCTCGACAGCTGCCAGCCACCTGTATGCCCTGGCGGCGGAGGCATCCGGCATCTGCATGGGCAGCGTGTAGGTTGTGAGTGGGTGTGGCTGTCCTCCATACACATGGTGTTTGGCTTCGTCAAGTGAACGGCCCCGCATCGAGTGGTTCAGCCTTCCGCGGTCTAAGTTCGTGTCGCTCTTCTCGGCGCAGCCATAGCCCCAGTCCTCGCCTGGACATTGCATCGTTGTGCCCCCGAACTGCGTGAGCCGGGTGCGATGTAAGTGGGCCAGCCACTTGCTGGTGGTCGCCAGCCTCGTGCACGCACACAAGTGGTCATCACAGCACAGTGAGCGGCATTGGTTGGTGACCGACTTGTACCCCCGCCCTGCCCCACCCTCCCGTGGTCAAGAAGTTCTGTGCTTGAATGCCCTGGGTATTTTCATCTGTGTCCAGTGGTTTTTGGCTGCGCCTCCTCCTTCTCTTCCTCTCTATCACAACGTCTCTGTGGCTTTTGGCTGCGCCCCCCCCGATCAACAACGCAGATTGCAATGGCCGCTGAAGAGCGTCCGCCCTGGGACCTGCCCAGGGAGTTCAGTGCCGACCCAGCCGTGGTTCTACTACGTGGGCGCCTTGGCAATTTAGCACGCCGCCAGCGATCGGTACTGCCCAGCAGCTCGGCAGCTGCCAGCCACCGGTATGCCCTTTTGTCGGACGCATCCGTCTTCTGCATGGGCAGCGGGGCAGGTGTTGACTGGGTATGACGGTCCACCATACACATGGTGATTGGCTTCGTCGCACGAGCGACCCCGCATCGAGTGGTTCAGCCTTCTGCGGTCCAAGTTCGTTTCGTTCTTTTCGGCGCAGCCACAACCCCAGCACTCGCCAGAGCATTGCATCGTTGTGCCCCCGGACCGCGCGAGTCGGATACGATGTAAGTGCACTGGCTACTGGCTGGTGGTTGCCAGCCTCGTGCACGCACACCAGTGGTCTTGGATGGAGGCACGCCATCCCTCATTGACACCGGTGCTCAGCGGCTTTTGGCTGCGCCCCCCTCCTGCTTGAGTTTCGCCCAGGTTCGTCGCTGACCCGGTCATGGTTCTACCACAAAGACGTCTTGGCCTTTCCGTCAGCACGCCGCCTACGAGCGTTACGGCCCAGCAGCCCAGTAGCCGCCAGCCATCGGATCCCCACCGGCGTCGGTGTATTCGGCTTCCGCACGGGCTGCGTGGCAGGTGTGGATTGGGTGCGGCCGTCAGCCATACATTTGGTGACACCCGATGTTTGGCTTCGTCAAGGGAGTGGCCCTGCATTGAGTGGTTCAGCCTTCTGCAGTTCCTGGTCTATCCCCTTGCAGAGCAGTCTGCAACCAGCCCCCGTCAGTACATTGCATCGTTTTGCCCCCGAACTGCGAGAGTCGGATACGATGTGCACGCACTGGCTTCTGGCTGGAGGTGGCTCAGCCTCGTGAGCGCACACCAGTGGTCTTCCTCTACTGGATGGCGCTTCGACGCGGATCAGCTACACCTCAGCGTCAGTGAGCCTTGATGAGTCAGGCCTCTTTCGCCGCACCATCGTTTACTCGTGGTGCTGCAGTGAGCCTGTGGTAGTCGCTCGCTTTCGCTCTCTCCCCCTCCCCCCTTCTGTGGTCTTGGACGGCCCGTCCTTGTGTGCACGCATGTAGGCTTCGTTTGGTCAATGGCCATTCGGATCCTCGTTCTGCTTACAGCTTTTCAGTGCCTCGCCGTCCGTCCTGGCCTCGCCTCCGAATGTGGGTCGGCTGGAGTTTGGCGCCGCAAGGGCGACTTCTCCCCCCCGTTCCGCTGCCAGTCGCCGCGCCTCTGCTTCCCCACCTGCCGGGATGTCTGGGCCGGTCACCTGCCGACGCTGTCTGCGTCTCAATGAGGGGCATTTTGTCCCTGGCATGTGCATGCGCCACTGCGGCCAATTTACATCGTACCGCGCCCTGGACGTTGTGCCCGCTCCCTGTCCTTCGCTTTGGGGCCGCGAACCAAAAAGTATCCCCACCAGTTGCGGTATCCACTTCGAGTCCGAGTGTGCTTGCACCTCTCTGACTCTGTTCTTCCTGGTTGCGCGCCGCCTTCCTGGGTCTGACCGTCTGGTGGCACCGCCTCGCTGGGCGGACGTTTGGTCTGTTGATACAAAACAGGTAACGACGTCTCCTGGCTTGCAGGATCAAATTCACCTGGTTGTTTTTCTGGGTCTCGCACGTGTGCAGCAGCTACCCTGGCCGTTTGCAGTCAGCTCAGCCAGCTCAGCCTCAGCCAGCTGCCTCTCCGGCGGTAGGTCCTGATCCCGCGCTCGGTCGCTGTGCATTTAGGCTCGCGCGTAGCACCTCCCCTCACGCCGTCTGCGCTGGCCGCCTCGGCAGCCGCCCGCTTAGGCCGCTTCGCCCGCGCGTGTAATTAGATCGGCCCGCGGCCCGGACCTTTCACCACGGCGCCTGCGCTTTCGCTTGCGCCCGCGAGGAAAAAGTATCCCCACCAGCTTCGCGGACGGACTTCGCAGGATCAGTACTTCCCAACGGGAATCGGGTGTGCGACTTTGGTGGCGCCACTCAGTGCACCAGTTTGGGCCTTTCGGCACGCTTGGCAGTCGTCGCAGATACTGGCTCGCCGCCCCCCTGGTCCCATCCTGGTATGCAGCCCGCGCCATTTTGGCCGCGCCCCAACCTCGGTTGGTCAATTTGCACGTTGCCCTGGCCCAGCCCCTGGCAGCCGCAGCCTGCGCCCCCACCCGCCAGCCCTGCCCGCCGTGGTGATGCCTGAGGCCCCGCCGGCTTTAGGTAATTCGTCTTTGCGCGGCCCGCTCTGATTCGAGTCGCCGTTTGCGCTCTCGCTTGCGGCTGCTGGCTTAAAAAAAATCCCCACCAGCCCATTCAGAAACCCTGCCCATGAGAGCTGACGGGAAAAGGGACGAAGAGACATCTAGGGAAACAAAGCGAGCGACCAGGGTGATTCGGGAGATCTGTGGGAGCAAGAGGGTGGCCTTGGAAGGCCTCTTCGGACCATCCCTGGGGCCGCGTGGGGGCGAGGGGAGGAGGAGGAGGAGGAGGAGGAGGAGGAGGAGGAGGGAGGAGGAGGAGGAGGAGGAGGAGGAGGAGGAGGAGGAGGAGGAGGAGGAGGAGGGAGGAGGAGGAGGAGGAGGAGGAGGAGGAGGAGGGGAGAGGGGGAGGAGGGGGAGGGGGAGGGGAGGGGGGAGGAGGAGGAGAAGGAGGAGGAGGAGGAGGAGGAGGAGGAAGAGGAAGACGAGTACGAGGACGAGGAGGTCGAGGAGGACGAGGACGCGGATGAGGACGATTCGGACGAGGACTCATGGAACCATCTAGAGGTATGATTGCGGCTGCTGCTGCTGCTGCTAGTGCTCTCTGGGATTTTTGGGGGCCCTCTTGGAACCCTCTTGGGATCATCTTGGAGGCCATCGATTACAGGATGGGGGGGTCCCCACCTCAGCTCCCCCCTCAGGAGCCCGCAAACCGCTCCTTGGGGCTCTCTTGGAGCGCTCTTGGGCGCTCTTGGAGCGGTCTTGGGGCCGTTGGGAGCATCTTGGGGGCCATCTTGAGCCAGCTTGAGCTATCTGAGCCATCTTGGAGGTCATCTTGGGCTCTCTGAGGCCGCTCGGGGGGTTCTTTGGGGCCGTCTTGGGGCCCTCTTGGGGCCCTCTTGGGACCCTCTTGGGGCCCAAGAGGGGCTGTCTTGGGGCTCTCTTGGGAGCCCTGGGGCGCCTCTTGGGGCCATCTTCGCGGCTATCGACCAAAGGAGGGTAGCTCCCGATCTAGGTCCCCCCCCTGGGGGTCGACGTCGGGAAAAATCACGACGTCGGGGCTCTGGGAGGGAAGCAGGTCCCGAGGTTTTCCCCGTTTTCGGGTCCTCGGGGCCCTCCGCAGGCCCCTCAGACCGTCAGAGTGACGAATCTGGACGAAAGGGTCCACCTGGGGGAAGGCGCCGGGGTCCAGGACCCGTTTCCCTCAGGGCCCGTTTCTCCCATGCCTTGAGTCGGGCGTGTCCCTCTACAGGAGGAACATTCAAACACATTTAAAACATTGTCCAGGCACGATTTTTTTTGTTGTTTTTTGTTTTTGTTTTTTGTTTTTTGTTTCTTTGAATACGTCTTGACAGTTTCTAATTTCTCGTGCAAAATCCGCCTGTAGGAGGACACGTCCGACCTAGCCCATGCCAGAGCGGCCCCTCCCGCCGCTGGGGGGGGGGGGGGCGGCGCCGCACCGGTGCTGACTCTTCCCCGGACGCGCCCCTCGGAGGGCGCCGGCCTGCCCCCATCCTGACGGGCGGCCAGCAGCGGGACTTTACTCGGGTGGTGGGGCCTTGGTCTTGAGTCGGGCACGTCCGTCCCTCTACAGGAGGAATATGTAGGAATAGTAGAAAAATAGTCAGGGGACGATGTTTCGACTATTTTGTGCTATTTTTGAATGTCTTTGTTTGCGATATTGTTTTTTGTTTGTTTGTTTGTTGTGTGTGTGTGTGTGTGGGTGTTTGTGTGTGTGTGTGTGTGTGTGTGTGTGTAAATTTTCGTCCGAAATCCGCCTGCAGGAGGACATGCCCGACTTAGCCCTGGTCTAAGCAACCACCTTGTGCTGTGGTGGGGGGAAGAGAAAAGGTGGAAGCCACACCCACCGACAGGCGAAAGGGAGCCGTCGTTATGTTTTACGGCGCGAGCAGATGGAAGCCGTACCCACCGACGGGCGACAGGAGAACAGTGCAAGCCACACCCACCGACAGGCGAAAGAACACTTGGAAGCCACACCCACCGACAAGAGAAGGTACAGGAGGAAGCCACACCCGCCGACAATAGGTGGAAGCCACACCCACCGGCAGGCGAAAGGAAGAAGATGTGGAAACCACACCCACCGACTGGCGAAGAGACCAGGTGGAAGGAACACCCACCGACAGGCGAAAGGACTCCTCCTCCAATGTGGCTTCCCGGGTGGGGCCTGCGGCTCACCTCTCCTGACTGGTGGTCAGCAGTAGCCTTTCCTGAGGTGGCCGGGCTTCAGGCTGCGCGACAGCCTTGTGCTTGGGGGCCCTCCAGGTGGAAGCCACACCCACCGACAGTCGAAAGGAAGCTGTGTCGAACACCGGGGGTGTCCCCGCAGAACAAACTGAGGCGTCTGGGCATTGGACGGAGCAGTTACCTCGCGCAGGGGGGTGCTGAGGCCCCTCCCCTGCCACTGTCCCTCCGCTGCTCACTCACCTGAGGGCTCGAATTGGGTGCTCATCGGATGCCGGGCCCCCGCACCCTTAGTGGCGAGGAGTGCGTCCCCAGACGATTCCCTGCAGAGGAGTATCGAACAGCGTTGGCACGGGAGGCGGAGGAGGAGGACTGACGCTACGGGCTCAAATGAGCCCGACAGCCTGCCTAAGAAAAGAAAGAAAGAGGAGGAGGAGGAGGCGGCGGAGGCGGAGGCGGAGGCGGAGGAGGAGGAGGAGGAGGAGGAGGAGGAGGAGGAGGAGGAGGAGGAGGAGGAGGAGGCCCTGGCCCGCAGGCGCGTGCCCGCGATGGCCACGGGCGGGAGCGGGAGCGCCGTGCCCCAGTTCGCGTCCCTGTACGTGGGTGACCTGCACCAGGCCGCGGCCGCCGCGGCCGCCGGGTCTGCCCAGAGGGGCTTTACCCGCCTAGACGATGTCCCTCTCCCCAAGATGGGCATCCCCCTTTTCTCGATGCCGATCTTGAGGAGTCGCCCACTTTCTGAGGGACCATCCTGAAGATTGTCGTCGCCTTGGGCTTGCCTCAATCTCAGGGATACGGACGAGCTCGAGGCTGGTCAGTAGGGCTGGCGGCCGGAGTGGCTCAGGGGCAACGCTAGGGGGGAACAGGCTCAGGGGGTTCGATGTTTGAGGTTTTCGAGCGTTTTCGTCGGTTCTCGGCGGCTTTGCAGCCTCGGCATGCCTTCCAGCGGCTGCGCCTCGCCGCGGGCGTTCCCAGGGTACCCAGATCGCCCGGAACGGCCGCCAGAGAGCCGAGTACAGAACATATCATAACACGGCAGCAGAGCACAGCGACGACGAACACGACAGAACACAACATGACACAACATAACATGACATAACAGGACACGAGCACGACATACCATGGGATAACATAACATAGCAATGCCATGGCACCATATAGATCATAACGAAACATGGCCGAACATACCAGATCATACCATGCCAGTTTATAAGACCACATAGCACACCATAACATAACATGACCGAGCATAACATAATACACCTTGACGTCACACATCATACGATGATACATCATCACATAACATGTCATAACACGACAGCAGAGCATAGCAACGACAAACACGACATAACATCGCATGACACAACCTACCATGATACAACATAACACGAACATACACGTCATAACATACCATAGCAGCCTCGTGTCAACGTATATATCATAACATAACAACACCTAGCACGCCATAACAGAATATGACAGTGCAGACGACGACAGACCTCAACATACGCTGATCATAACATACTGCATCTTAACATAAGATAGCATACCGTGACACAGCATCACATAACATATAGTAACACGACAGCAGAGCATGTCGACACATACTAGCAGATCATATCATATTTACCATAGAGACCCGAGCCATCACCAACACACAACATCACAGAACATACCAGAGCAGAACATGACGGAACCGACGACATAACACACCATAACATAACATAACCGAGCATCATATAAGACATTTGACAGAACACATCGCACCATAGCACAATCACACAACATATTCTTACAAGACAGCAGAGCATAGCGACGACGAGCACGACAGAACACAACACGACACATTAGATCATGACAGAACATAATACGAGCATGACAGAACATGACAGATCAGACCATAGCAACCTCATGACACCATAGAGCATACGAGAAGATCACATAACATATCATAGCAAAACCTGACGGAACAGAAGACGACATGACACAACATAGCATACTAAAACCGAGCATAACATAATTCGCATTGACTGAACATATCATAGCATGACACAGCATCACATAACATATCATAGCACGACAGCAGAGCAGAACGACACATACAAGCACAGTGGATCATAATGTATTATACAGAGCCGAGACGTCAACAAACATATCATCACATAGCATACCAGAGCAGAACATGACATACCATAAGACGGCAACCCACAACATAACAGAGCATAACCGACCACGACATAACACACCATGACCTAACAAATCATATCATGTCACATCGTACCACATCATATCATGTCATACCAGATCATATCATGTCACATCATATCACACCATAGCATATCATATCATATTTCATTCACCATCTATCAGGTACCATATATCGTATTTCATACCATATCATGTCAGACCATCTCATATCATTCCATCTCGTATCTTATCATATCATACCATATCAGATCATATCATATCATATCATATCGTATCATATCATATCATATCACATCATATCATGTCATACCATACCATGACAACCTCACATAACATCATATCACGACAGCAAAGCATTGCCAAACATGCTAGCAGAGCAACTGATCAAATACTATACTGAGCCGAGCTGTCAACAGCATACTGGAACAGAGCATACTATGACATAACCGGACATATACATATAACGGGGGACCTGGTCTGGGGGCCGGGGGCTGGAGCCCCGAACGCAAATGTGGGGCCCGGCACGCCGGGAGCCATGCCGGAGCGCCGGGGGCCGTCCAAGATCGCCCGAAGAAGGCCCCCGAAGGAACCGAAGACGCCCCAAGAGTCACCCCGAGAGAGCCCCAACAAGCAAAAATCGTAGATTTCTTCTCGGAAAACTGATGTTTTTGGCGTGTTCGCCTTTTGGGCTTCCACTGCGTCCAAGACGGCCCAAGAGGCACCCAAGAATGGTCGAGGATGCCCCAGAGAAGGCCCCAAGACAGCCCACGAGGGGGCCAAGACGGCCCATGAGGCGCCCAATCCGCCCAAGAACGCCCCAAGGCGGCGCCCAAGACGGGGACGAGGAACCAGAGATTCGCGCCTTTTGGCCCAAGAGACCCCCAGGAGACCCCAAGAGGCTCCAAGAAGCGCCCAAGAAATCCCAAGAGGCCCCCATGAGACCCGAAAAAACATCAAAAATGACCCCCGAGCACGCCCCAAGAGGCACCCCAATAGAGCCCCAAGTAAGCAAAAATCGTCGATTTCCTTTAAGAAACTGATGTTTTTGGCGTGTTCGCCTTTTGGGCTTCCACTGCGTCCAAGACGGCCCATGAGGCACCCAAGCCAGTCGAGGATTCCCCCGAGAGGGCTCCAAGACGGCCCACGAGGGGGCCAAGACGGCCCACGAGACACCTAAACCGCCCAAGAACGCCCTAAGTCGGCGCCCAAGAAAGGGACGAGGAACCGAAGATTCGAGTCTTTTGGCTCAAGAGGCCCCCAGGAGACCCCAAGAGGCTCCAAGAAGCGCCCAAGAAGCCCTAAGAGGTCCCCAAGAGACCCGCAAAAACACAAAAAGAGGCCCCGAACACGCCCCAAGGGGCACCCCTAATAGAGCCCCAATAAGCAAAAATCGTCGATTCCTTTTTGAAAATTGAAGTTTTTGGCGTGTTCGCCTTTTGGGCTTCCACTGCGTCCACGACGGCCCAAGAGGCACCCAAGCCAGTCGAGGATTCCCCCGAGAGGGCTCCAAGACGGCCCACGAGGGGGCGAAGACGGCCCCCGAGGCGCCCAAACCGCCCAAGAACGCCCCAAGTCGGCGCCCAAGACGGGGACGAGGAACCGAAGATTCGAGTCTTTTGGCCCAAGAGGCCCCCAGGAGACCCCAAGAGGCTCCAAGAAGCGCCCAAGAAGCCCCAAGAGGCCCTCGAGAGACCCGAAACAACCAACAGAGGCCCCGAAACAACCCCCCAATGGGCCCCCCAAAACGGCCCAAGAGAGCCCCCGGGCGCGCCCAAGAGGGTCGACCAGAGAGCTGGTCCGACTTTCCACACTCTACACAGGGTCCGTCCCCGGCGGTGCCTCAAGCAGGTGTTGCCACTGGAGTCCTCACTTGCCTGGGACAAACTCCAAACATTTTTCCGCAAAGCGATTCCTGTGTCTGTGACACGCTAGAACCTAAGCGCGCGCGAAGCGCGCGTGGTTCGAGTAACATATATGGACGTAGCATAGTGCCACACAGCAGATCATACCATAACATCTCAAATCATATGGTGGCATATACGAACACAACATGACATACTTAGTCAGAGAGGAAACATATCAGTGAAGAGGCACATCATAACAAGCGACGCATCTAACGTCACAGGCGTCACGACGGCACGCCGGCCCGTCGAGAACAGAAAAGGAGATAATAGAGCATAACATGAAAGATCTTGTTTGCATGTGGCACGGTTGAAGCTTTTTTTAATCCAGAAGCGGCAGTTGTCGACCAGTTAGGCGACCGCGCGCCGTCGGGAACAAGCGCTTAAGGTTTCGATGGGGATCGCTCTAAGCATTTTTGTTTTTGTTTTGTTATATCTTTCAATATCAGCGACATGTTGCGATGGAATCTTGGTGGTACAAAGTTGCTTGCAGCACGACTGCGAGTATGGGGCTATGCTGGAGGGTACTGCGGACAAGACGGTCTGCAGACGTAGCGACATCACCACATAATATTTGTATGCATGTGTACGTGTGTGTAAGAAGCCAGTGGAGGGGGCCGTGCTGAAGGCAAGGGATTTCCAAACTTGCTTGGGAGGGGCCCCGTTTCCCACTTCGCAGAAATATGTGACTCTTGAGCCGTTGGCTTCGTCGTGCCGCAGGGGTATGTGTCTCTTGAGTCGTCGGCTTCTTCGGGCGGCGTGCCTGGTTCTGGAGCTCAATCTTACGCACCGCCTATCAGTGCTCCGCTTTGATTGTTCCAGGGAGCTTGGGCGTTTGTGGTTGGTGCTCACTTTTTGCCAAACTCGCTGTTTACAGGTCCTTACTTCGGAAAGAGCGTGTTCTACCGCTGCTGGCGGAAAACCGGGGGGGGGTCACTACCGGTTCGAACCCCTCCCCCCCCCCCCCTCCGGAAAACCGGGGGGGGTCACTACCGGTTCGAACCCCTCCCCCCCCCCCCCCCCCAGTTCATCATGGAAAAGGGGGGGGGGGGTCACTACCGGTTCGAAAACCCCCCCCCCCTCGAACTCGAAAACCGGGGGGGGTCACTACCGGTTCGACCCCCCCCCCCTCTCGAAAACCGAGGGGGGGTGCGGACAGTGGTGGGGACGGTGGTGGTGGGGACAGTGGTGAGGGGACAGCGGGACAGTGGTGGGGACAGTGGGACAGTGGTGGGGACGGTAGTGGTGGGGACAATGGTGAGGACAATGGTGGGAACAGTGGGGACAGTGGGACAGTGGTGGGGACGGTGGTGGTGGGGACAGTGGTGTGGGGACAGTGGGAATGTGGTGGAAACAGTAGGACAGTGGAGGGTACAGTGGTGGTGGGGACAGTGGTGAAGGCGGTGGCGAGGACGGCGGTGGGACAATGGGACAGAGGTACAGTGGGGACAGTGGTGGGGACAGTGGGGACAGTGGTGGGAACAGTGGGACAGCTCAGTGGCACAGCCGAGGAGTCAGTGGGACAGTGGGGACAGTGGGGATAGTCGGGCAATGGTTGGGGCCGTGGAGAAAGTTGGGAGAGTGGAACCGTGGTGGGAACAGTGGTGGTGACAGTGGGGACAGTGCGACAATGGTGGTGGCACTGGTGGGGACAGTGGAGCGGTGGTGGAACCAGTGGGGACAGTGGTGGTGGGGACAGTGTTTCTGGGAACAACACTTGGGGGATGTGGTGAGGACGAGGACGGTGGTAGGGACCGGGAGTCGTTTGCTGGCGGTGAGAGGGATGGGTGGGGAGGGGTTCGAACCGGTAGTGACCCCCCCTTCCGGTTTTCGAGGGGGAGGTGGGGGGGTTCGAACCGGTAGTGACCCCCCTCGGTTTTCGAGGGGGAGGGGGGGGGGTAGGGGAGGGGGGGGGGGGGAAGGGGGGAGGGGGGGGGAGGGGTTCCAGCAGGGGGGGGATTTTTCGGAGGGGGGGACACCCGGGCTCCGGAGGAAAAGTGCGGCAATTTTCCACAGTAAAGCGGCGGTGGATCACGCTCTCTCTTACTTCGTCATCTTGGGGCCAATTGCAGTCAGAGCTGGGTGCGAGCGTACATGTCGAAACGCCACGCGTTGAACCATATGTGTTCACCGACCGCCAGTCAACACGTGGCCCGCCGTCGATCTAGCTTTTCGGTGAAAGTCCAAGAGATACTGGGCAACATGCGAGCTCGATCGAGTATGTTACATTGAGCTGCCCCATGTGGATTGAGACCCACTTCGTTTTGTGAGGGACTCACGGAGAGCTGGTTTCAACCCCCCGCCCTCTCCTCAACTGATGAGCTCTTCTGAACTTTGGATGCTCTGCATTGCAGTTATTGCCAGTCCTGTGCCTGCGTCAACCTGTCCAGCCTCGATCCCGACCCTCGCTCTCGGACCTCGGACCTCGAACCACCGAATCGAGGTTCGAGGCTCGAAGTCTGAAGTCGAGGCTTGAGCCTCGAGCCTCGGTCCCGCAGGCCACATGCCCTGGTGGGCATGGCGGGGCCCTCAGAAGAGGCGGGCACGCAGGCACGCGAGTGATCCCTGGCCGGCGACTTTCTCAGCCTCCAGCGTTCCTCTTCCTCGCTCGTCGTCCTCAGCGGGGCTAGAAACTCTTTTGTACAGGCTCACCCAAGGATTCCTATTGTGCGCTGACCAATAGAAATCAATTTGAGGAGGCGCAAACACTGGAAACACAAGGTTTCCTTGGTTCCAGCTTGTGTTTTCTTGTCTTTTTTGGTTTCCAATTGAGAAACAGCTCACAATCAAAAACACAGCATTTTCTCTCCCTCGGATTGTCTTTTTTGTCTTTTTTGTCTTTTCCCGTCGGCGGCGGTTTCGACAGCGATCGATGGGTCGAGTTCCTCCCAGGTCTGAGGCCACGGCCTCCACGCCATGGCCCTGAGGGGCACGGGCGCGCTGCCCAGGCCGGGGCATGCCTCGACTCCACAGCGCTCGTCTCGCCCCGTCGTGCCACCGCCCGCCTTCCGCCGAAGGATGTCACCGAGGCGATGCTCTACGAGATCTTCAACTCGGTCGGTCCCGCGCCCAGCCGGCACACCGCAGGTAGTTCGTGCCCGACCTTGCGGCGCCGATGGGGGGGCTCAGATGACAAGTTCGCCACCGTGGCCCCCCTGACGTTCCCGACCGGATCGTCTCTGCTGTGAGCTTTGCCGATCAGTACCCCGTTGTACATGCAGGATCCGGCCCGATCCGATTCGTTCCTCTTTCGTTTCACGGGCGCGTGCTTGACCTTGAATGTGGGCGACCTTAAATGTGGGCGCCTGCTTTGTTGAGTCTTTCGTGTGACGAAGCTCCGGACACAGTGAGTCCCGTAGATGGCAGTATTCGGGTGACGATCATCGGGGTATTCCTGGATGTACAAATTTAAGCACATTGGAGTGCTTGGTTCGAGTCCTCGAGTCGCCCTTGAATTGCGCTTTCAGGTCACATGCCAAGGGTTCCCTTGCTGCCAGTCCGACCTATCAGCACGTAAGCACAATCAACAATGATAGTATGGATGTATGGATGATCGAGTTCCCAAGAACACCCTTGCATCTTTGCCTCCTCGGTCCATCCTTAACCACTTTCGATGGCCAGCCCCGCTCGAAGAGCCTCGGCATGGGCGTACAAGGCCCTTGCATCCTCACCGCGCATCCTTGCTATCAGTTTTGACTGCACTCCAACTCGTCTCTCTCCTCGTCTTTACTGGCCTGCGAGGCCCCGTGGCATCCATCCGCGTCTGCCGTGACAGCGTCACCCGCCGCTCGCTGGGGTACGCGTACGTCAACTTTCACAGCGTGCAGGAGCGCGTGATGCTTCGCCTTCGGCTCCGCCATGTGAGCGACGCAGACCATGGGGGTCGTCTTTGCAGACATTCGCGCGTCAGCTGCCCGCGAAAGGTGGCGCGTAAGCGCCCTCGTCTCCAATGCAGCGTGCCGCGCGGGCGGCCCGCGTGAGCCACCGCGTAAGGTCGCTACGTCATCTCGCGTGAGACCCCTTTCGGGACGTCGCTCACGTGTCTGCTCAGCGTCGGGAGCTTTCGAAGGAGAAGGGCCCCCAGCGGGCCACACCTCGCCGGGTGGTGCTGGTGTTCCTCTGCATTTGCCTTCAGTGGCCTCCCTTCTTTATTACTTGTCGTTTCTTGCCCCAGATCAAGTTGGCCCGCGCATAAGTGCAGAATAAAGGATGTACGTGCTGTGACAGTGGAAAGGTGCGTGAGACAGTACAAGTATTGAGTGGCCAAAACGGTGGGTGGGTAAGCGGAGGTAATGTGAGGGGAGAAAGACAGTCGGTGGAGTCCTCAAGAATAAAGATGGCATGCGAGTGAAGGCAGCACTTTCAGCTCACCACGTTGGCGAGATATGTCAAATGCGACATGCACCCAGCTGACTTTGTCCTGCATTTTGCAGACGGCCGCTATCTCCATACTCAGCCTTGCGACCTCCTTCTCCTCAGTTCTCCTCTTTCCTTCTCTAGCCACTTCGGCTCCAGCATGGGCCGTGAGGCCGGTTGGCACGCTGTCGCATCCGCCCTCGTGGGCTGCTGCTGGCCGAGGAGCCCCCGAGGAGCCCGAGGGGCCCGAAGAGCCTGGGCGACCGAGGAACCCGAGGACCCCCCTGAGAACCCCGAGCTGAGATCACCGCTGGGGTTGTTAATCGGGCCGGACGAAAGGGGGGGATTGGGAAAGGGGGGGTTACGAAATTTGCTGCATGCAGCCAGTTTCGGCCTCACCGAGGGGCCCATTTCTCGATACATAGCCGCCTCCGGCGCCGGGAGGCGCCGGGAAAATCAGCTACTTGAGCTGATTCTCACCCTCCCCTTTGCTGTCCCCCCCTTTCGCCCGACCCGAGTTAAGTGGACATGGAGGTTAGAAGTGGATGCTAACGTGGGTCATGCCTGGCCCAACCTAGCTTATAAGTGGGTTACACGTGCCCTACCCCGAGCTGAGATCACCGCTGGGGTTGTTAAGTGGACATGGAGGCTTGAAGTGGATGCTAACGTGGGTCATGCCCGGCCCAACCTAGCTTATAAGTGGGTTACACGTGCCCGACCCCGAGCTGAGATCACCGCTGGGGTTGTTAAGTGGACATGGAGGTTTGAAGTGGATGCTAACGTGGGTCATGCCCGGCCTAACCTAGCTTACAAGTGGGTTGCACGTGCCCTCAGTTTTTTCAGGGTGATGCGGCAATTTCGCGAAGCGGGCTCCGCCCACTTGGACCAGGCAGCCCACTTGTATATATGCCAGGTTAGGCCAGACATTGTTACCTTCGCATCTACCTCCGACCTCCCTATCCCCTGAGCAAACTCAGCAGTAATCTCAGCGAGAACTCCCCCTCCCGAGGACTCCCCCCCGTGGAGCAGGCGCGACCCGATGCGCCCAAGGGGCCCCGGGCGACCGAGTAGCTCGAGGGCTCCCTGTCGAACCCGAGTGATGCAGGACCTGTTCCGCAGAGGCCCAATTCCGCCGAGGCCCAGTTCTGCTGGGGCCTGGTTCCGCCAATAGCGGGGAGCGAGGGGGGTAAGTGAGAAGGAGAAGGCCTTCTCAGAAGGCGGCGGGTCTTCTCAGAAACCCTCGCGCCTTCTGAGCGGTTCATTGTGCCCTCGGGGAAGGCTTGGGGCAATTTCTCAGAAGTCCAGGGGACTTCCGAGCCTTCTGAAAAGGCCCGCCCCTTCTCACTTCCCCCCCGGGCGCGCCGCCTAGCCACGGCCCAGTTCCGCCGAAGCCCAGTCCTTCCGATGCTTGGTTCCGCCGAAGGTTCCGCCGAGGCCCTCTCCCCCTTCAGCCGTAATCTTGACGACTCCACTTCTCCCCACCAGTCTCTCTGATCACCGTTGCCCCCCCCCCCCCCCCCCACAATGATGCTTTCCTCGGCCTCTTCTTGTTGATGCTCTGGACTCTGTGCAGCACTTTTCCCATGTTGCAGTAATTATGCGGTGTATGAGGAGGAGGAGGAGAAGGAGGCGGAGGAGGAGGAGGAGGAAACGGATGCTGGTGAGGAGTGGAAGGACGAGGAGTGTGCAACCTCGTCGCCTTTGGGGCCAGACGCTGACCCGTCGCAGGCGTGCTTGTGGAAGTGGCACGTCGCAGTAGGGCACATGCCACACTACCAAGTGATGTGCGCCAGCCCTGCCAGGTTTCGTCCGTATCCCATGGAGGTGTCGTGGCCTGGCGAATGTCCCGGCTACGGGCTCGCTCTTGTGCTGGCTGGTGGCCGCTGCCTTTCGCCTGTCGTGCTTGTCATATCCCCCCCCCGCTGGCCCCTGCAGCCCTATGCGAGACCAGCCTCGGCGTGCGATTCCAAGGGCCAGCCTTTGTTCTCGAGGGGGCCCCGCCGAAAGCGAAATGGCGTCGCCAAGTCCTCCACTCCACTGGCACCCCATCGCGGAATTTCGAGGGGGAGAAGGTACCCCATACCGCCCGTCTTGCATCGTTTTCGCCTTTGTGGTCCTTCTGGTAGGCCCTTGTCGCCACCGCGGGATTCGCTTCGAAATTCTAGTCATAATGCACCCTGGGAGAGGTCCGGGGATCAGCGGTATCGGTACCTCTTGGTTTCCCTTGGAACGCCCTCTACGATGGGTTCGTGCCTGTTCGACTCGGTGACGACCCCAGCTCTGGCGTTCAAGGTTGAGTGCCCCCAGTGGCCTGGCTTCGTCCAACATCGACCGATCCGCGCCATCGGAACGCCTCGATCATTCGCGGCTGAGCGATCCGCGCGTGTGGCATCAACCAGCGCAGAGGTCGTCACGACGTGAACCCGCCGTATACGCCAGCACCGATCCCGACCGGGCCCGAGCCCAGGATCGGCGCGCATGTCTCCCTGGCCAAGACGGGGTCGTGTGCACCGAGCCTGCGCCCGCGACGGGCTTGGCGCTCGTCGCGCGCCTGGTCCTTGTCCTCGTCGCTGGCCAGTCAGTGCCCATGGCCCCCGTGCCAAGAGTCTGGCGCTCTGCCTGCCTGCCTCTTTCAGCACGGGGGGCCCCCAGGAAGCCCCGAGCCTCTCCCTGGGGCCCGCTTCTCCTCCCGAGCCGTTTTTGACGGTGCCGGGAGGCTTCCTGGCAGGGGCCCACTCGCCAAACCACCCCAGCCCAACCCGAAGGCCTCAGTTTTTCCTCCATATCCAAATGGGGAGAGGTCAGGGAACATGGAGATATCAGCCAGCGTTGACTCCAAATAGATAGGAGGACAGGAGGAGGACGAGAGGAGGATGGGAGGAGGACGAACGGAGGACGGGAGCAAGACGGGATGAGGACGGGAGGAACAAAATCAAGCAAGCGCAAGCAAGCAAGCGGAAGCAAGCAAGCGCAAGCGAGCAATAACAAGCAAGCAAGAGCCAGCGATCAAGTGCAAACAAGCAAGGGCCAGTAAGAGCAAGTAAGCGAGACCAAGCACGCAAGAGCAAGCAAGCAAATGCCATTGGAAAGACGGGGGGTGCCATTGGAAAAAGGGGGCGTGCCATTGGAAAAAGGGGGAGGGGGTCCCAAAGACCACTTACTTATGATGAGCTATGACTCCTATAGGGCAAGTCTATTAGGAGGAAAACGCATATGGAACCCGTACCCCCCCAGCCCGAAATTCGGGTCTTCGGGTTGGGTTGGGTTGGGGTTGTCTGGTAGGTAGTCAGCCTGGCAGGGGCCCTTGGGACGCCGAGCAAAAGCGCCACAACATCTTCGGCTCGTCTTATCATGTTTCAACCTACTTTAGCTTGAATCACCTGCAAGAATTTCGAGCACCAAGAAAGTACCGAAACTGGAGGGTTTTCACGTATCGGGCTCTGGGCGCCCGAATTTTTTTGGGGGATTTGGTCCTTAAGTGCGATGGGAGTAACATCTTCGGCTCGTCGCGAGTTTTTCCCGCGGCGCCGGGCGTGGCCGGGGTGGTGCCTGTGCAGAGAGCCGCTCCCGCCGCAGGATGCGGAGCGGGCCCTGGACACCCTCAACTACTCCAGCATCAAGGGCCGCTCCTGCCGCCTCATGTGGAGCGCCGCGCCGCCCTGCCTCGGGCCACGACGACGACGACGACGACGACAACGACCACGACGACGACAACGACCACGACCACGACGACGACCACGACGACGACGACGACGACGACGACGACGACGACGACGACGACGGCGGCGGCGGCGGCGGCGGTTGCGACCTCTGGCGGGCCGAGGGCTGGCGCCCTGCCAGCGGGCCGCTCGTCGCGCATTGGCGCAGTTCGAGGTTTTGCGCGGCCCGCCTCGGCGCGACCGCGACGGGCCGCTTTTGCTGCCGCGGCCAGAAGCGCGCAAGCGTACACGCCGGTCGTTGAGAGCGCCTTCCTACTTCAAGCGGGGGGGCGGCGCGCGCAGGCGAGTGCTTCGAGGGGGAGGGAGGGAGCTCAGCAGATTCCAGAAACCCTTACAGACAATCCGTGGCTCTCTATACTTAGATCCATGGCCCTGGCCGCACGGGAAGTTGGATCCACGAGAATCTCACCCGCGACTGGATCCGGTTGGATTTCCAAATCCCAATCTACTTCACGCGCCTTCCTACTTCAAGAGTCGATGTGCTATAGCTGTGTTTTGTAATTATCAGGGAGGGCCTGGACCTAGTCTACTTTATCCGTCTTCCTACTTTCTATGTTTTTGCACATTTCTTCCGACCGACGGGTACCCTGAGAGCTCAGAGGAGGAGAAGTCATCGATACCTCTACCCTCTGCCCGTCCTCCCTTTTTTGTCGGCCTCCTTGGAGGCCCTCGTGGCCACCGCTGGATTCGCCTCGAAATCCTGGTCAGAACGTACCCCAGGAGAGGTCAGGGGAATAGCGGTATTGGTACTTTTTGGTTTTCCCAAGAGCAGGCGCACCCTGGAGAGGGGCCCATAGGGACCACCCCGGGACGCCCAGATAGAAAGATGGCTTCCTGTCATGGGCACGCCTCCGCTGGCATAGAGCTGGCAATATACGGCGGGCGAAGCAGGAGCAAATATTTGCCGTGGGAGAGAATTCTTCTCTGTTTTTGCAGGGCGGGGACACCCACAGAGGCCTCCTCCCCTCCGCCTCCTCCCTCTCCTCCTTCTCCTCCTCCTCCTCCTCCTCTTCTTCCTCCTTCTCCCCCTCCTCCTCCTCCTCTCCCTCTCCTCCTCCTCCTCCTCCTCCTCCTCTTCCTCCTCCTCCTCCTCCTCCTCCTCCTCCTCCTCCTCCTCCTCCTCCTCCTCCTCCTCCTCCTCCTCCTCCTCCTCCTCCCCCTCTCCCCAAGCGAATGTCGGCGATGTGGCGATATTGGGGCCCTCTTGGGCCATGCTTCTTGGCGCAGCGTTTCTTCAAGAGGGCTTCAGGGGGCTTCAACATTGCCTGAGGGCCCCAAGGGCCGCCCAAAACTGCCCAAGACGGCCCCGAGAGGCCCAGAAGACTGTTGAGGAGGGCTTCCAGAGGAATCCAAATCGGCCCAAGAAACCCCGAAGACGGCTAAAGACGGCGCCAGGGCGCCAAGACAGCCAAGAGGGCCTCCAAGATGCTTCAGGACGCCCCCAGACGGCTCAAGAGAGCCCAAGAGACTCCCAAGCGACTCCCAAGAGGCCCCCAGGACGCCTGGACGATCCGAGAGGGCCTCAAGGGAGCTCTTTGACGGCCCGGAGGGTCCCGAAACTGTTCCGAAGGCTCTGAGGTAGCCCCAAGAGGCCGAGCGCAATGTACGAGAGGCCCCAGGAGGGGCGCCAAGAGGCTGGACGAAGGAAGGCCGAGCGGCAACAAACTGCAGCAACCAACAACGTGCAGCAGCAGGCAGCACCAAACAAACCGACGCAGCAGAACGCAGTCTCGAAAGGCAGCAACCAGCAGCAGCAACAGCGGCAAGCTTCCCGTTGTGCCCGGCAGAGGTTTTGACCTGTCCCAGAGCCCAGGGGCCATGCACTGCGAGTGTAGGTTTCTTTCGTTCCTGTGTGCGCTTCAAGGTTTCAGCAGCTGCGCGCCGTTTTTTTATATCGGCATTCACCAGAGGCCTCTCTTTGACCGCTCTGTGGCCGAACCCGTACAGCCAAGACGCTGAAATAAGGGCCGCTTTGGGTTCGGAAGGGGCTCGGGGATTTGGATCGTTTCTTAGATTTCTGTCGCGGGATTTGCTTGTGGCCTAGGCCCACCGTGGCCAGAAAAGCCCCTTTGTTCCTTATTTGGCGTTCCTTCTGGGAGTACCTCGACTGTACCACCAGGCACGAGTCTTAGCGGACGAGTCGTGGTCCAGTGACTCTTCACCGGCGGGGATCGCGGCTGCCTCCCCGGCCTCGCTGCGGACGCCTAGGACGCAGCGCGACCCCAGCGCTCGCAAGTCCGGCGCGGGCAACATCTACGTGAAGAACCTGGACCCCAACATCGACAACAAGCCCGGGGGGTAGGGGCGAAGCGAGACGATAGGGGGAGGGGCGGGGCAAAGAGGTGGAGGGGGAGAATGGGATACATGTACCTGTGCAGACGTATTCGTATATGCATGTCTTGATGTGCGTACGCGTAGGGACAGCAGAGAGGGAGAGGGAGAGTGAGCGAGAGGGAGAGGGAGAGGGAGAAAGAGAGAGGTAATGAGAGAGACACAGAGAGATGAACCGAACTGCGGTCTGGTGGGCCAGGGGCGCCGTGCCAGAGGTGCCGTGCGGTGCCGTTCAGTGCTGCATCGAGGTGCTCAGACCATCGTCCGGCGGGCCAGGTGTACCGTACTGTGCCGCATGGTGATGCCGTGCCGTGCAGGGTCGTGGTGCACTTTCGCGCCCCAAGCGCGATTTGGCGAGGGAGAGGTGCCGTACAGTGGAATGTGCGAAGGCGATCGCGTCTGGCGCATCGCGAACAGCGCAGGCAGATGCGCACGAGGGGGCCGCGCGAGAGGGGGGCGGCCTTCCGAGAAGGCGGGGGGGTCGCAGAAGGCAGGGGTCTGGTCGGGAGCGCCTGGATGTCTCTGGTGGGGCAGGGGTGCCCAGAGTGCGATCTGGTGGGGCAGAGGTGCCGTTCCGTGCGGTGCCACGGTGCCTCTGGTGCCGTGCGGTGCGGCGCTGTGGCCTCTGGCGCCGTGCCTCTTGTACTGTCGTTGCTTGAGATCTCGTGCTGGGGCGTTCGGTGTTCGATCGTGGGCCCCCCTTCTGTTCGTCCAGCGTTCGCGCGGAAGACCGCCGACGACCACCAAAGACCGGCGACTAGCACCAAATACCGCCTTGCCTCGGGGGGTTCGCTGCAAAAGGGGTCGGTCAGAGCGCTGGATCTTGCAGGATCCTGCAGGGCCATGGACCCGGGTTTAGGTGCAGGACCCTGCAGGATCCTGCCAGACCTGACTGACCTGGGTCTGGATCGACCCAGGTCAGTAGAGACCCGGCCGCCGAATAGCAGCCGGAAGACCGCTGATCATCGTCGAAGGCGGATGGGCGACAAGGGGTCCATGGTCGAACGCGTAAACGGTCATCGAGGAGAAAAGAACCCTTGACCGTAAGAACATCGTGAAGACGCGGTTTCGCTTAGGTCCTCGTCTGTGCATCAGGGATAATAGTTCTGGGCGGTTTGGTTCGATACATCTGCAGAACAAGCCCTATCCCTGATGTTTTTGGGCCCCCTGACTTCGGTCCCCTCCCAAAGGGTTGGGGGTCCTCTTTTGATGAATCAAGCGGGGGGAACTCGTTTGCGCCGTGCTCGGTTTACAGGCGGGCATCGAGGCCCAGCTTGGTCAGTGCCCCAGGGCGCGCGCGCGCACGCGGTCAGGACCGAGGGGCCCATGGTCAGGACCTTGGCTCGAGGGGCCCCCTCAGCAGCGCACGGTGAATGCAGAAAAGGAGGAAGAGGAAAAGAAGGAGGAGGAGGAGGAGGAGGAAAAGGAAACATAATAGGAAATAATGGAAAAGGAGAAGGAGGGGCCCATGGTCAGGACCTTTGGCTCAGAGTGCCGCGCCCGTGGTGCTGGCCCGCCACGCTTCGGCGCGACGCGCTGTCCACTGCGCTGCCCCCGGGCGTCCACGTGCCGAGCTCTTCCCAGCCCGCCCCGCGGTGCGGAGCGGCACGCTGTTCGCCTACACGGCAGGGCGTGCCGCGGGGACCGCCGCCGCGGCACGCTGAGCCACAGCTCTTCCTGACCGTAGCTTTCCCTGACCGCCCCAGGCTGGGGCCACGGGATCTGTGCCGTATCCACTGCCCCAGGCCTGGCCAGGCCCGGGCCCAGGAGTGGTGCAGATGCGTGCCTGGCCAAGCCAGGAGGGCGTATGACACCGCCCCTTGGCCCAGGACGGGCCAGGCCTGGGGCGCCGTGGATCTGTATAGATCTAATTCGTGCCTGTCCCTCTACAGGAGGAAATTCAAAATTAGTAACATATTTTTGTTTAAATTTGTTGTTATGTTATACCATGTGCATGCGATGATGTTCTATTTTAGTATTTTAATTGTTCGTCCAAGCTCCGCCTGTAGGAGGACTTGCCCGACCGAAGTATAGATCTCGTCGCCCTGCCAGGTTGAGGTTTGGCGTGTGGGGTCAGGCAGGGCGTGGAGGCTCGGCAGCGCGCGGTGCGGGTAGACGGCGGTCTCCACGCGGCCACCCGAGGGTCTGCCTCTGGGTCGGGCAGGGGCACGGAGATTGAGAGGACTTCCTCAGAGCCCCCCTCATCCTCCCCCTCCCCCTCCTCCTCCTCCTCCCTCCTCCTCCTCCTCCTCCTCCTCCTCCTCCTCCTCCTCCTCCTCCTCCTCCTCCTCCTCCTCCTCCTCCTCCTCCTCCTCCTCCTCCTCCCTCCTCCCTCCTCCCTCCTCCCGCCTCCCGCCTCCCTCCTCCCTCCTCCCGCCTCCCTCCTCCTCCTCCTCCCTCCTCCTCCTTCTCCGTCTCCTCCCTCCTGGTTGTGTGTTTCGGCAGTTTATGGGACCCTGGGGCCCTCGACGTGCCCAGGGACCATGGTGGACTTCCCTTCTCCTCGGTTGGACAGCCAGCAGCTTCTAATAAGAAACGCACCGATGCCGTCCCTCTTCGGAGGCCTGGCGAAGCTTCCCGAGTCTACGAGGCCTTTCGGAAGTCGGCCTCTAGCCTTCCAGGTTGTCGCAGTTTCCTCCGTGGGCGGTGCCGAGGCTCCAGTGGGGCTCCTCTGGACGTTTTCCAAATGGTTGGAGTTTTTGCCTGGTCATACGTCGTGCCCCCATGCTTAGACACCCTCGCGTCGTGAGAAGTTCACGATGGTTGTTGTTGTTGTTGTTGTTGTTGTTGTTGTTGCTGTTGTGGTTGTTATTGCTGTTGTTGATGTTGTTGTTGCTGTGGTTGCTGTTGTTCTTGTTGTGGTGGCGGTTGTTGCTGCTGATGGTCTTATGGTTGTTGTTGTTATTCTTGTTCTGGTTGTTGTTGGTGTTTTTGTTGATGTTATTGTTGTAATTGTGGTTGTGGTTGTGGTTGTGGGTGTGGGTGTGATTGTGGTGGTTGTTGTTGTTGTTGTTGTTGTTGTTGTTGTTGTTGTTGTTGTTGCTGTTATGGTTGATGCTATTGTTGTTGCTGTTGTTGCTGCTGCTGCTATTGAATTCTCATTTCGGAAGAATAATTATTGTTGACGCCTCCCCCCACCGGTGCGTATTGTTTTTTCTCAATCAAAGTGTGCCCCTCGACGCTCGCACCCTGTTTTTTGACAGGGAAAATCTTCCTGCTCAAACTGGCCTCCTGGCCCCCAGGTTACAACAACAACGGCTCCCCCCTGAGACTTCTTACAATTTAGCCAGGACCCCCGCTCCCGCCCGAGACATCCTCGCATTTTATTCAGGAATCGCGCTCTCGCTTGGGACTTCCTTGCAATTTATTCAGGAATCGCTCTCCCGGCGCTCTGGAGTCGCGCTCTCGCTGGAGACTTGCTTGCAACTTACTGAAGAATGGCTTTGCGTTGGAAATTCGTGCAATTTGCCCAAGCGCCGCGCTCCCGACACCCAGGCACCCACGAGTCGCGCCCGTTGTGGCCCCATGTGCATGCTCTTCGTGGCCCCGCTGTCGCCATTTGTGTCCCCCCTCATTGTCCTACGTGGCCCAGTTGCTACCCTCAGCGGCCCCATAGTTGCCTTCTGCGGCCCCGCATTATCTGCACTTCGTGGCCCCCGCTCGTTCGCGCTCTCCGTGGCCCCATACGCATTCCCTTCGTGTCCCCGCTGTCGCCCTTCGTGGCCTACTTCGTGCCCTTCGTGGCCCTGCTGTCGTTCTCTCTCGCTCTCGCTTTCGCTCGTCGGCGCCGTCGTCGTCGCCGCCGCCGTCGTCTTCGACGTCGTCGTCGTCGTCGTCGTCGTCGTCGTCGTCGTCGTCGTGGTCGGTCCCCTGTCCGTCCCTCTTGGGGTCGGGTCGACGGTCCGCGGCCGCCCCGCCGATCAGCGCTGCCGCTGGCCAGGCCGACGGTCCGCGGCCGCCCCGCCGCTTGCCGGGGCCCGGCCTGCATGGAAGAAAGGTATACCCCCCAAAAGGGGTTCGATCGAGGACGAAGAGGGCGGGTATCGATGGTTTGGGAAATACGCGTTATTGAACACACGAGCATATAAGGGCGACCAGTCTTAAAATTATTGTTGTTGTTGATGTTGTTGTTGTTGTTGTTGTTGTTGTTGTTGTTGCTGTTCTTCTTCTTCTTGTTCTTGTTCTTCTTCTTGTAGTCGTAGCAGTAGTAGTTATTGTTGTCGTTGTCGTTGTCGTTGTCGTTGTTGTTGTTGTTGTTGTTGTTGTTGTTGTTGTTGCTGCTGTTGTTGTTGTTGTGGTTGTGGTTGTTGGTTGTTATTGTTGTTGCTGTTACGTTGTTTTTGGATACTCATGTCTAAAGAATAATTATTGTTGATCTCTGGAAACGGTTCCGCGCGCTCTCGCCTCGATGCCGGCTACATGTTCTCTGAAAACGAGGCTCCCGCTCGAGCGTTGGCTTGAGCCTGAATGTGGGCCCTTGGAGGCCCAGCTATGACAACAACGGCTCCCGCTCGACACTTCCTCACAATTCACCCCGAGACACCCTGGCCAGAGAGGCCCCCGAA